ATTAAAATCTTAAAAGAGATAGTGGAGCAAGAAAGAGAAATCCACCAAGATAGCATGAAAGCCATGGATAATTTTTACCAGAACAATCCACCGCAAGAAAATATTAGACTAAAAAATATTCTCCAAGCATTCGAAAAAAACTATTTAAAACTTAACCGGGAAAGACAAGTTTATCAGCAGGAAAACAAGGAATTAAAACAAAGCCTAGAAGTAGTTAACAAGATAGCAGAGCAAGAAAATCAACCCAAAGAAACCAAAGACCAAGCAACCCAAACCGACATTACTAACCAAGATTTCGAACAACTAGCACAACAGCAAACTAACTTAAACCAAGCACAAGAAACCATTCAAAAACTCCAAGAACAAATTAATAAATTAACAGTTAAAAAAGACTAAATACGGCAAATATAGAAAAATATTTATGCTTATTCATTTTTTAGAGCATCAAACTTCGAACATCATTGACAGCATGCTATATCAAGCGTTTACGTTTCAATTTTAGCAACGTTGTTCTCGGCCTTTAATTTTGCCAATAATTCGTCCTCAGTTAGTTCGTTGACTTTCTTCGGTGAGTAAGTGTAAACTAATTTTAATTTTTTTGTTTTTCAATTCTTCCTCCCCAATCACTAAACGATAAGGAATTTTTTTTTCATAAACTTGCTTGACTCGGTAATTTAAGGTTTTTTCTTGCCAAATTTCGCTGCGGAAATTATTAGATAACAACTTTTTTTGTAAATTTTCACTGTATTCTTTTACTTCTTTTTGGTCATTTAAAGGCAAAATAACTAATTGAACCGGTGCTAACCAGATAGGTAATTTGCCGCTTGTCTTCTCCAGCAGTAAAGAAATAAATCTTTGGTAAGAACCAATCGGGCTTTGGTGAATAATAATGGGAGTTTGTAATTTTTGTTCTTTGTCGATATACCGCAAATTAAACTTTTGTGGTAAAAGAAAATCCAGTTGGATAGTTGCAATAGTGATATGTTTGCCGTCAGCCGCTTTTACTTCTAAATCTAGTTTCGGACCATAAAAAGCTGCTTCCCCTTTTTGAATTAAATATTCCAGTTTCGTTTCTTCTTTCATTTCTTCCAAAGCAGTGATTAACAAGTTTTCGGATTTTTGCCACAACTCTTTGTCAGGGTGATATTTTTCCTTATTTTGGGAGTCATGAAGCGAGCAAACTAACCTTTCAATAGCAAAATCTAAATTATTTAATATATCTTGAATAAAATAGTAGTTTCTTTTTAATTCTTCCTTTAAACTCTCAATGTTTACAAAAACGTGATGGTCGGCTAATTCAAACCAGCGAATTCTTTCTAAACCTTTGAGAGCTCCCGAAGCCTCATAGCGAAACAAAAGAGAGTTTTCACATAAACGAAGAGGCATTTCCCGGTAAGAGAGAATTTTTTGTTGGTAAATTAAGCAATGATGAGGACAAGTCATTGGTCGCAAGTAATAGCTTTCATTGTTACGACTAATTTCCGGAAACATGTAATCTTGGTAATGGAATAAATGACCACTAATTTGGTATAGTTCTTTATTTCCTAGAACAGGAGTAATTACTTCCTGAAAATTATATTCAACTCATTTTTGGCGAATAAACTGCTGAATTTGGTTGCGGATAATTACTCAATTCGGCAAAAGAATAGGCAAACCTTGACCGGCCTTTTCGTCAAGGGCATATAAATCCAAATTTTTGGCAATTTCCCGGTGGTCTTGTTTTTTTACTTCCATTTGTTGTTATAATGATTTTTAACGGATTTCTTTAACCGCTTCGTTTCTTCAATTAAAACAGTGTATTTACTCTGTTCATCTTGTTTTGCTTATAGACAAGACAAAAAATTAGTTAATGAAAATTTTGGCGATTGGTGACATCTTTGGCAAAATAGGAAGAAAAATCATTAAATGCTACTTAGCTGGAATTAAACAAGAATACCAAATTGATTTGGTAATTGCCAATGTCGAAAATGCTACTCATGGCAAAGGAATTTCTTTCAAGCACTACCAAGAGTTAAAAAACTCCGGTATCGACATAATGACTTCGGGCAATCATATTTTTCACTTAGAAGAAACCCAAAAAGGGTTTGACAAGTTTTTGGACTTAATCAGACCACTCAATTCTAATCCTTTCCACCCCGGAAAAGGAACTATCTTAAAAGAATGAGCAAACAAAAAAATTCGCGTTACTAATTTAATCGGAATTGCTTTTATGCCTCCTGCTGAAAATCCTTATTTTGCCTTGGAAAAACTTCTAGAAAATGACAAATCCGATATTCATTTAATTGATTTTCATGCTGAAACTACGGCTGAAAAAGCGGCATTTGCTCATTATTTTGCTGGCAAAATTACGGCTCTGTGGGGAACTCATACTCACGTGCAAACCGCTGATGAAAGAATATTGCCTCCCGGTACTGCCTTTATTACGGATTTGGGAATGACTGGACCAAGTGAAGGAATTATTGGTGCTGAACCTGCCGGAATTATCCAAAGAAGCAAATATAATTTTTCCTCGCCAATGCGTCCTTGTGAAAAAGGTCAAGGGCAATTTAACGGGCTAGTATTAGAAATTGATGATAATAGTAATAAGGTAATTTTTCTCCAAAGGATTTTTAAGAACGTTTTGTTATTTTAATTAAAGTTCAAACGAGAATTCCCAAAAGTATAGCAACCAAAATCCCTACAATAATCAAGATAATAATTAACTTTCTTTTTTTTCTTTTTCGGTAGCAAGAGGTGCAGATTCAAAGAAAAGCAGCGTCCCCGCTTGTTCCTCAGCCACCACCACCGCCTCAGCCTCCTCAGCGACCACCACCGATTCCTCAACCAAGACCGTCCTCTCGTAATCTTACTTCTCTGCCTTGGGGAATTTCCCGGTTACAATCAAAGCAAACTTTCTTATTCATATTTAAATTTTAGTTCTGTCTTTTATTTTGCTGTCTTGCTAGAAGCCTTAGTCTAGCCCATTACTTTCAATTTGTTAAGTGTGGTAAAAAGCAATTGTTGTAGTTTTTGAAGAGCTTCACCTAGCTTGCCCAAGAACAGCAAGAATTTATTAAGCAAATTTGTCTCGTTAAACACGAAAAACAATGTTATTTTGGGCTATTTTCTTTTTCATTAATTTAATTTCTTTTTGGAGAGTTTTCAATTCTAATTTGGGTTTGTTGATTTTATTGATTTTGAGCGGCACTACTTTTTTGCCTTCGCGTGTTGGATATTTTGTTATTTAATAATTTACGCTTTAATTTTAACAAAGTTTTTCTCTTGGGCTTGGAGATTATGTTCCCCGCGGGGGAAAACAAATAATCTTTTCATTTGCTTCCGGCTTAATTTATTTTTTGGCATCATTCCCCAAACAATTCTTTCCATTAATTCAGTAGGGTATTTTTCTAACATTACTTTGGTGTTTCTTTTCCTTAGCCCTCCCGGATAACCTGAGTGATTATAGTAATATTTATTATTTAATTTATTGCCGGTGAACTTAACCTTGCTAGCATTCACTAAAACGACATTACTTCCTAAATCAAAATTAGCAAAAAAGTCTACTTCTTGCTTTCCTCGTAAAAGTGCAACTATTTTAGTGGCAATTCTGCCCGGAATTTGGTTTTCTAAATCGAAAAAATATCATTTTCTTATTGCGGGAACTCGCGGGAGGGTGGTTTGTTGGCTGCTGATTTCCTTTCTTTCTTCCAAACTCATATTTATATTTAATTTTTAGCAATCTCTCGGCAAAAACTTTTCTTTAACTTTTCCAAAAAAATCAATTATTGAAATTCACAAAAATGCTCTTAATTTTTTTCTAACTCAAAATTTACCGAAGGCTCAGTTGTGGTTAAGTGGACGCGACCGAATTGTTCTGTTTCCTTCCAAGAAATTATTAGTTTTTTGTAGCCTAATTCCGCCAGTCGTTTTTGAATTTCAGGAATTAAATTAGCCAAAGGAGCAGCAATTTCTTTAAATTTATTTTCGTATTCTTGCAATAGTTGTTCGGCTCCGTGGCTTGATTCGGCTTTTCGGCGTTGATATTCTTGTGCTAATTGTCTTTTTTTGGCTTCTAATCCTCCGTCAGATGGAGAGTTAGATGATTTCTGTTTTCTCAATAGTGTTTGTAATTTTTCTGCTAAATGTTTAAGTTGAAATTCTAATTCCTCAACTTCTTTAATTAACTCTTGCTGGTTTTGCCGCAAATTGGCAATTTCTTCCTCACTAGATGCGATTTTTGCACTCAATTCGGCTATTCTTTGGCTTACTGCTTGTTTATCGGCTTCTAGATTTTGGTCAGGGTTTTGGTTGGGATTTTGCCGATTTTCTTCTATTTGTCGGTTAACATTTTCTAAAATTACTTCTTCATTGGCTTTGGCTTGTTTGTGTCCCGCAATTTCTTTTTCAATTTCAGTTATTTTTTGTTCATTAGTTATTCGGGATTGCTCAACTGCTCTTTTCTTTGCTGTTACCTCTGCTTTTAACGTATTAATTTCTTCTTGAATTTCGTTAATTTTTTCTTGGCTGTCTTCATTATTTTGATGAGGGCTTAATTTTTCCAACCTTGCTAGTTCGTTTTGGTATCATTCGTCTAAATCCGAATTAGAATTGAGTTTTTGTTTGTATTCATTATAGAGATTTTTTGCTCTATTAATGGCTTCCGAAAATTGAGGGTATTTAAAAACTACTTGATATATTTCTCCTAATTCTGGGTTAGGAATAGTCCGCTCGCTTTCCCAAGTATTTTCATCGACTTTTTTGGTTTCTTGTCTTCCAATCATATTATCTGCTACCAAAGCAAAAAATTGTTCCGGAGTAGCCTGAATTTCCATAGTTTGCGGTTCAGGAGGAATGGGAACATTTCTTGGTGCCATTCCTGGATTTAATATTCTTTCTAGGGCTAGCGGAATTTCACTGGTAAAACTAACAAACTCTACTTGCTTAATTTTTTCTGTAAGGTCATCGGGAAAATTGTCAAACCAGTTTTCCTCTGGGTCGCTCGTTACGTATCCTGGGTTAAATCTTTGATATCCCTGTTTATTAAAATTTGCTTCTGAGAGAATAAAAATATTAATTGGCTTTTCTTTTTCGACATTTCATTTTATTTTAGTTTTTAATCCTCCGATTGACCCTACTTTTTGACCCTCAACAGTTCCGGTTGAACCTAAATTTCTTGGTAAGGGAATTCGATTAACTAGGCTATGAAGTGCTAAATAAAAACCTATACCCGCTGAGTCTCCGCTCATGGAATTGTCGCTCTTAACTAAAACATAAGCATCATGATTAAATTTCCCATTTTGAACTAGAAAGTTACGGACAATTTGCTCATAATATTCTTTATAAGATTTATAACTCTTTTGGGAATGACGCCCAACAATATTATTAGAGAAATTAACTCTTGGAGGAGCACGAGGGAGGTTTTCGTGTTGTGGTTTCAGAAAAATTATTAAATCATTTGAACCACCAACTTTTTCTCTTCCTTCTCCGCAAGTATATAAAATATTCGTTACACCAATTCTTTTTTTAGCATTTAAATCAGGTATTTCTTGGTCGAGCAAGTCCCAAATTTTTAGTCTTTCAATATCTCTATCAGAATAACCTTTGGCAATTAATTCATTTTTTCGGCTTAAACGGTCAAGCAATTCTTTTTCACGAATGCTTTGATATTTATCAATTAGTTCTTTGATTGTTTTTAATTCTTTGAGAAGTCTCTGATATTCTTCTAATTGGCGATTATATTCTCTCTGTTGCCATCTAAGTCAGTTCTCAATATCACGGCGAAACTTTTCGCGGGCGTGCTCTAAGATTGATTTGTTTAAATCTTTTAAATATTCTTCAATTCAAGGTCTTAGTTCATCCCAAACTTTGTCAATAATTTCCGGTGGTAGTGTCCCGCTAGCACTTTCTGAACCAGTTGGCTTCGGGGACGAAATCGCACTAATTAAAAACTCTTCTTCAATTTCTTCAATAGTTTTGGCGGTTCCGTCAGATTTTTTAGTTAGTTTGTTAAGATTATCGGCATTACCCAAAAGGTTATTTGCCAATTGCGAGACAGCATTGTTTGTTTGCTGCCTTTGCGATTCAGAAATTATTTGCTCGTTAGTTTTTTTGTTTTTAGCCAAAAATCAAATTAAGCCACCGCCCAGTAATAAACCGCCAATTATTGAGAGGGTAACAATAATCGCTTTTCAATTACTTGAACTTTTCTTTTTTCGGTACTCACTGTATTGATTATTCATTACTCTGCTACTCCTTTCTTAGCCTTTTGTTGGTTTTTTCAAATAAAGAGCGACCAGATTTTCTTTTTGTTACGTTTGTGGCAAAATGGCTTTTTGTGTTTGAGTAGTAAACACCGCCCAACTCTCTCTCTCTCTCTCTCTCTCCCTTGTTATTTTTAAATTATTTACGGAATTATTCATAAGTTATTTATAATTTTAAGAGAAAAGTTTTTATTAAGGATAATTTTGCTTGTTTGTAAAATTTTATCAATATTCGTCTCCTGCCTGCTTAAAAAAATAAATAAATTCATTAATGGATAAATTACCAATTAAATATCACTTTAATTTAACGGAAAAGTTAGAAAAATGTGGCTATTGAAAAGAAATAACGGCCAAAAATGATAATTTCTCGGCTTCCCTTTTAATGCCCCCGCCCAATATTACTGGTAATTTGCATTTAGGTCATTGTTTAGATTTAATTCCCCAAGACTTTTTGGTGCGTTATTTTTACTTAAAAGGCCAAGCAATTTACTGGATTTCTGGCATGGACCACGCGGGAATTGCTACCCAAAAAAAAATCGAGTCTTTCAATCTGCCTAATATTCAAAATATTGAACAAAAGAGAAATTACACTTTCAATACTTGGTATCCCCAAACCAAAAAATCCTTTTTTCAACAATGGGAGAAACTGGGTTTATTAGTTGATTACGAAAATACTAGGTTTACCCTGGATCCAGTTATTCAAGAGCAAGTAAAACAAGCCTTTATTCAATTATACAACGATGGTTTAATTTATCGAGACAAAAGGCTAATTAATTGAGACCCGCAATTAAAAAGTGCCATTTCGGATATTGAAGTAGAGCATAAATCGAGCGAAAGCAAATTATATTATTTAAAATATCCTCTGTTAGATAACACTGAATCTAATGATAATCCGCTGATAAAACAAAAAAAAAATGCTAACCATGAATTTGCTTTTGTCCGCGTAATTATCCAAAATAAAAAAGGGCAAATACTACTAGTAAAAGATAAAAAATGAGGCTGAACTGCTCCGGGCGGCAAAGTAGAAAAAGGTGAGAGTTTAGAAGCAGCCGCTAAAAGAGAAGTATTTGAAGAAACTAATTTAGCGGTTGAGAAACTGAAAAAAATTAAAACAAGAATTTTTCTTTTTAATAACCAATGAATAAAAAATCAACAGTGAGAAGGTCATTTTTATTGAACTAATGAATATTCTGGCGAAATACAGAATAAAGAACCAGATAAAATGCTAGATATCAAGTTTATGGACAAAACTTCCCAAGAGGCATATGAATACGCACAGTATTTTTCTTATTCCGCTTCTTCTAGTAAATCAGATTACTTGAAAATGCTAGATGGCGAAGAAGAAAAATTAACCGATAGTTATTTACTAGTCGCTACCAGTCGACCCGAAACTGTTTTTGCCGATGTAGCCTTGTTTGTTAATCCCCAAGACCAGAGATACCAAAAATATATTGGTCAGAAAGTTCAGCATCCGATAACGCAAAAAGTTATCCCCATTTTGACCGACGAAAAAATAATTATCGATTTTGGCACCGGGGTTTTAAAATGTACCCCTGGACATGATTTTTTTGATTATGAATTAGGAAAAAAATATAATTTGCCTTTGGTTAGTTGTTATGACGAAAAAGGAATTTTGAATAGTTTAGCCGGCAAATGACAAGACCAAGAACCTCAATCAATTCGGCAGAAACTAGTAAAAGAACTACAAGAGCAGGATATTTGCCTAAAAATTGAAACTTACCAAACTAATTTGGCTATTTCCCAAAGGAGCGGAGCAGCTATTGAACCTTTACTCTCTACTCAATGATTTTGCGATTTACCACAATTAATCCAAAGAATAGAAGCCAAAAATCCTGATTTTTTAAGCAAAATTAATTTTTATCCTTCTCGCTTTCAACAAATTATTCAAGAATGAAAAGAAAAAACTCACGAGTGATGTATTTCTCGCCAATTATGATGAGGCCACCAAATACCGGCCTGATACCATAAGGAAACGGGTGAAGTTTATGTTGGTACAAATCCGCCATTCCCCGCTGGGGAGTGAGAAGCCGAAAAAGATGTCTTGGATACCTGATTTTCCAGCGGATTATGACCGCTAACTACTATTAAGCAAGGACAAAAATTTCCTTCTCCTAATCCGCAATATTTTCCTATTACTCATTTAATTACTGGTTATGATATACTTTTCTTTTGAGTGTTAAAAATGATTATTTTAGGCTATTATTTTACCGACCAACCCAGTTTTCAAAATATTTATCTCCATGGTCTGATTCGCGACAGTCAAGGACGCAAAATGTCCAAGTCTTTGGGTAATGGTGTTGAACCAGAGGAAATTATTGAAAAATACGGGGCTGATAGTTTGCGCTTATTCCTTTTAGAAAATAATATTCTTGGTTCCGATTTAATTTTTGAAGAAACTAAAATCAAAGGCAGTTATAATTTTATCCAAAAACTTTGAAGTATTGGCAATTTTTTGCTTTTGAAATTAGAGAAAAAAGAATTAAAAAAAATTGAAATCAGTGAATTAGAAACCGAATTAAGCAAGGAAAATAATAAAGAATTGAAAATAATTAATACTTGAATTTTAATTGAATTAGAAAAATTGCAAAAAGTCTATTTTAAACATAGCGAAAAATTAGAAGCCAACCTTTTAGCCAAAAAATTAATTGACTTTACTTGACAAAAATTAAGCAATGATTATTTAGAATTAATAAAAATAGCCACTTGGAGCCGAGCAACGAAAAAAACTTTACTTTATGTTTATCAACAAATATTGCTATATTTCCATCCTTTTATTCCTTTTGTTACCGAATACCTTTATCAGCAAGTTAGCGGGCAAAAAATATTATTAGTTTAAATTTAAAAAAAAGTCAATAAATAGTAGTAGTAGTAGTAGTAGTAAAAATATTTTTAATGAGCGATGATAGAGAAAAAGAACGAGAGCTAGAACTAGCCAATAAAAAATTATTAGTAGCATTAGGCGACATACACCTTCAACTTTTAAGAAATGTAGGAAAAATAATTCTTTTACAATACCATAGAAAATTATATGACGAAGCCAAAACAAAATTTAAAACCATTAAAGCCGAGGATATTTCTGAGGAAGTTAGAAAAAAAGCAGCAGAAATCTTTCAGACTTTTGTTTTGACTAACAAAGTTTATGTAAATGAAATAGCCGACGGCAAATTTGTTTGCACCAATGAAGATTTGAATTGACTAGAAGAGAACAGCAAAGAAATTTTAGAAAATATTGATGCTGTAAATAAAAGTTATCCGGAAATTGTCAGTGATAGCGATTGTTCCGAAGCCAAAGAAGGTATTAAAAAAATTCGGGAGGAATTAATCCCCGTAGCGAGAAAATTTGCTAATATTAATGCCTCATACAAAAACTTTGATAGGGAGAATTTTTCTTGACAAAAACTGAAAAATCTGTATTACGAAGCCGAGAAAGAAGCTTCTATTTCTCGACCGGTGGAATGGTTAAGTGAATTTGCCGAAAATCAAAAAATGTGGTTTTTGGGTGAAATTACTTTTACGACTTTTAGAGGTATCGAGGAGATGGATAAAGGGGCTGATTTGCCTCCTAATTTTTACCCTTCTACTGGCGAAGAATTAAATTTTCTTCAAAAAATCGTGGACGAGTTTCCTAAAATTCTTGATTGGGGCAAAAAAACATACGATTCTGGGGAGATAGAAGACATAGAAGCCAAAATTCAATGAGCGAAAAAAAACAACGAAAAACTAAAATCCTTTATCCAAGAACAAAGAAAAAAATTAGGTTCTTCTGGTTCTGCCAACAAACCAACCAATAAACCCAATCCCCAAGACCAACAAAAAATCCAAACTCAACAAAATGAAATTGATTATCTAAAAAAACAATTAACTGAATTACAAAACCAAATTGAAGAGTTAAAGAAAAATCAAGCCGATTCAACTGACGAACAAATTACTAGCCAAATAGAAACTTTACAAAAGAAAAAGCAAGAAATTCAAACTAAATTAAAGCAAAAGCAAACTCAACAAAAAGAATTAAAAGATAAGGTTAACCAGCAACAACCCAAGAATGAATTTAACTGGTTATATGTAGTAATTCCGGGTGCGGTTTTATTAGTGGTTATGGGAATTATTATTGCTTATTTGGTAGGCAAGAAATCGAAAAAGGAATAAAAATGCCAACACTGTTAGAAACCAAAAAAATTGACTTAAAAGATTTTGCAAAAGTTTGAATGGTGGATTTTCTTCTTTTATTCATAAAAAGTATTCGCTCTTTTCGCCAAAAGCAAAATATTAATAGCCAAATTGAAGTTTACTGCGAATTAACCCAAGAATGAAAAGAAAAAATGGATAATTCATTTGATTTTAATCAATTTTTAATTCCCTTAGCAAAAAGCAAAATTAATTTTAATTTGCCTGAAACGAAAAAAGAGGATTTGTTTTATATTGTTAACCTTGAACCTTTTGGAATTTTAAAAGCCCCTAAGCAAAAGACTGATTTAAAAAAAGAATTACAAGAAAAATTAAACTACTTTCAAGCAGAGCATGAGCGGGCCCAAAACTTATTAAATAATGAAAATTTTCTCAAAAAAGTTCCTGCTAATTTGGTAGAAAAAGAAAAAAAGAAATTAAGTTATTTTGCCGAACAAAAGAAAAAAATTTTAGAGCAATTGGAAAAAAAATAATTAAAGAATCATAAAAATGGTTACAGAAAGATATTGAGAAAAAAACTTGCTGACATTATACAGAATATAAGAAAGTTATCAACTATTATTGAGAAAGTACTTTGCACTATTAATTGTAGGTGAACCAAAAAAAGATATGAAAAATAAGATTATGCTAAAACAATTATTTCTTAACTGGGAAGAGTCGGTGCCTCGTCTTCAATCTCGCGGTGTCAGCAGCGATCAGTTATCAGTGCTCAAAAATAAATGAGAGCGAAAAAACCGACTAATTCAAACAATTAATCAATTAAGGAAAGAAAGAAACCAATTAAGCAAAAAAGGGGAAACAGTAGCCCAATTAGTTATTAATTTAAAAAAAAAATTGCATATCCAAGAACAAGAATTAGTTAGTGTAGAACAAGAGCTACAGCAATTACTGGAAAGAATTCCTAATCTTCCGGCTGAGGATACTCCTTTAAAAGAAAATAAAATTATTGACGAAACAAAATATAAGCAGGAAATAAAACCCAATCTCACTTACGAAAAAATTGCTCGCCAATTAGAGATTATTGACGAAAAAGCGAGCGTTAAATTATCAGGCAGCCGATTTGCGGTTTACCGAGGGTTGGGTGCGCAGTTAGTCCATGCTTTAATTAATCTAATGTTAAGCGAACAAAGAAAAAAAGGTTATCAAATATTCACTATTCCCTATTTAGTTCAGAGCCAAAATCTTTATCATGCTGGACAATTGCCGAAATTAAAAGAAGATATGTTTAAAATCGAGAATAGTGATTTTTACTTAATTCCCACGGCGGAAGTTCCTTTGGTCAACCTCTACCAAAATGAAATCTTAGGTGAAAAAGATTTGCCGCTAAAATTATGTGCTTATAGTCCCTGTTTTCGGGCAGAGGCGGGAGCAGCCGGTCAGGAAAATAAAGGCTTAATTCGTTTGCACCAATTTCACAAAGTGGAGTTAGTGCAGATTGCTCAGCCGGAAAATTCTTATCAACGCTTAAAAGAAATAGTGGAAGACGCGAGAAATATCCTTCACTTGCTAAAAATTCCCCACCGGGTAATTGAACTTTGCGTAGAAGAATTAGGATTTAGTGCGGCCAAAACTTACGATTTAGAAGTTTGATTACCCGCAAGCAAAAGGTGATTAGAGATTTCTTCCTGCTCTAATTGCGAAAACTTTCAAACCGAGAGAGCAAAAATCAGAGTAAAAAAAGAAAACGGACAAAAGTATTATCCTCATTCCTTAAATGGCTCAGGCTTAGCCATTGATCGTCTAATTGTGGTTCTGCTGGAATATTATTATAATCAAGACAAAAATGTTTTGGAAGTTCCTTCCGAATTAAAGAGGCATTTTTTTAATTAGGCATAAGATTCAATTTCTGTCCAGCAAAAATTTACTTTGTCTTTGTTTCTTTTCCTCTAAAAAAGGTGAAAATTAAACTAATTAAAGCTAAAATTCCGGTTGCTCAGAAGAAATATTTGGTGCCAGAATTAATTCCTCCTCGGGGAGAACCAACAGAAGAAAAAGTTCCGCCTTCGGTCTTCCTACTTTTTTGAACTTGTTGAGTCTCAACAATCGCCTCCTTATACCGAACAATTTATTTTAGCCAAAAATGCCTTGAGGCTTTTATTGAAGTGCTGTTCCGGTGAATAATCAACCTTACCAGCAAAGGATTAAGCAGTGGATTATGGAGAGAGAGCATTGAGAACAGAATTAAAAATTTAAAATTATGAATATGAGAAACATGAATGAAAATTGAGGAAGCGGAGCCCTTTTGAAGGAAGAAAAAATAATATTATAATGCTTGCTCGCTTGAAAAAAAAAATTGTAATTAGTTTAACCTTTTTACTCCATTCATTAGGAATTTTAATCGCTTTTTTTAAAACTCAAAATAATCTCCCTTTTCACTTGTCTTTTCATTTGCTTCGTTTTTTTACTTGGTGGTCAGTTCATTCTTCTATTTTGGCTATCCTAGCAATAATTGCCATAATTTGGGAAGAGAAAAAGAAAACTTCTTCTTGGCTGTCCCAGTTTATTCCTTTTTTATCGGTTATTTTCAATTTAACTACTTTCTTGTTTTGCCTCTTTCATTTATTTTTTGGTGCTTTAGAATGAAAAAGTTCTCTTTTTTTAAACTTCAATTCAATCTCTTGGCATTTTGTGGCTCCTCTTTTAACTATTTATTGTTTTTATTCTTGGGCAAAAATAGATATTTTAAAAAAAAAACTAGTTAGAAGTGTCATATGCTCTTTTATTTGACCATTTCTTTATTTTGTTTATGTTTATCTTCTTTCGCTGGTTAATTTTGCTGACGGAAGCAAACTAGGTCTTTACCTGAAAAAATACCCTTACTTGGTTTTTCAATGACTTGCCAAAAAAGGCTCTTTGTTATTTTTTCTTTGGTTGCCGCTTGCTTTCCTTATTCTCTTATTTCTTTCTTTTTTAATAATTTGGACAAAATTGGTTTACGAGAAAAAATTTAAGGTTCTTTTAAAGTAAACTTATTTGACAAAAACCAGTTCGCTAATGCTTTTTCGCTGGACTCTTTCTGCCTTTAGCCAAAGAGGATTATTTTATTTAAATACCAAGCAGCGGTGCCTAACAACTTTGCGGCATATTTATTAATAAAATTGATTTATAACAAAAAGCGAAAAATATCCCATTTTGACAAGAAATTCATTGAAAAAGGCGGAAAATGATTTTGCCCACTACAATAATATGATGAAAAAAACAAATTTACTTATTTTCGACACTCATTGCCACTTAGCCGATAAAGAATGAGAGGGCTACAACATCAGCGAAATCATTAGGGAAGCCGAAAAGGCGGGAGTAAAACACATTCTCAATACTGGCCAAGATATGCCGACTAATCGATTATTGCTTACTCAATTAAAAAATTTTCCTAATTTATTTGGTGCCCTTGGTTTACACCCTAATAGTAATGAAGACTTAAAAGAAGAAAATTTACAATGAATAGAAACGCAATTAACTAATAAAAAAATCATTGCCATTGGAGAAATTGGCTTAGATTATTATCGCACTTTTACTGATATTGCTAAACAAAAAACCTGGTTTGAAAAGCAATTGGAATTGGCTAAAAAATATAACTTGCCAGTTTTATTACATATTCGTTCGCATTCTACTTTCGAAGCCTTTGCGGACGCTTACGAAATAGTGAAAAAAGCAGGAATAAAAAAAGGCGTTCTTCATTGCTTTACCGGAAATTGGGAAATAGCCGAAAAGTTTATCAATTTAGGATTTTATATTTCTTTTGCCGGAAATATTACTTACAAGAACGCCAAATGACGAGAGAGATGAAGAGAGGTGTTAGAAAAAGCACCTTTGGAAAAAATTGTTATTGAAACTGATGCACCTTATTTAATCCCCGAACCATTACGAGGACGACAAACTAATAATTATCCTCAGAATATAATTTATACCTTAAAAAAAATTGCCGAAATAAAAAAAATGGCAGAAGGAGAAGTAGCAAAAATAATTTATCTTAATACTTTACGATTTTTTGGGCTCTTGATAGCATCGCCTAATGAATAAGTTAATTTAAAAAAGTTGCGGGAATTTTTCCAATTTCGCAAAATTTCATAATTACTAACAAATAATTAGATTAAAAATACTATAACTTATGTTTCGTCTCATTACCGACTTTAAACCCCAAGGAGACCAAGAAAAAGCTATTCAGCAATTAGTCCAAGGCATTCAACAAGGCAAAAAACAACAAGTGCTTCTCGGAGCCACCGGCACCGGCAAAACTTTCACCATGGCTAACGTCATTGCCCAAACCCAAAAACCAACTTTAATTCTTGTTCCCAACAAAACTCTTGCTTTGCAAATTTACCAGGAAATGCAAAATTTTTTCCCCCAAAACAAAGTTGAATATTACGTTTCTTATTTTGATTATTACCAGCCGGAAGCATATAAACCCCATTCCGACACTTATATTAGTAAAAAAACCCAAGTCAACGTGAATATCCAAAGGATGCGTTTAAAAGCCTTAAATAGTTTAGTGACCGAAAAAAAAGTGATTGTGGTCGCCTCAGTCGCCGCAATTTATGGCTGTTTTGACCCCCATTCTTACCGAAAAGCAATTTTAGAATTACACCAAGGTCAAAAAGTCAGTAAAAAAGAAATTGCTATTTGGTTAACTAAACTGGGTTATAACCCTCACGCTTTGGAACTAGAAGAAGGCTGTTTTTTTGTCGAAGGAGACAATATCCGCTTAAAAGTAGTTTGAGAAGAAAATTATTATTGACAATTAGAAATCAAAAATGGTATTTTGGAAAACATCGAAAAGCGTTCTGACAAAGACAAAAACCAAAAAGAAACTAAAACAATTATCCTTATCCCTCCTACCAGAGAATATATTTATCTGACCGAAGAGGAAAGAAAAAGTTTACCGGAAATATTAGCCGAAATTAAACAAGAATTAAAAGAGCAAGTAGATAAATTTAACCAAGAGGGAAAAATTACCGAAGCTAGAAACCTCGAAAAAAGAACCAGCGAAAATTTAATTGATTTGGGAGAAACTGGCTATTGTCCAATGATTGAAAACTACGCTCGTTATTTTGATGGTCGCCAACCAGGAGAATGTCCTTATGCTTTACTAGATTATTTTCCGCAAGATTATTTAACCATTATTGACGAGTCCCATTTAGCCATTCCCCAAATCCAAGCCATGTATAATACCGACCAAAGCCGGAAAAAAACTTTGGTAAAATATGGCTTTCGCTTGCCTTCCGCTTTGGATAATCGGCCTCTGAATTTTACGGAATTTGCTAACAAATTGTCTTTTGTCGTGTATACTTCAGCTACTCCGGGACCTTATGAACTAGAACAAGTTAACTATGAGGTGGTCGAACAAATTATTCGTCCTACGGGACTTTTGGATCCCCTCGTGGAAATTCGTCCCACCAAAGGTCAAATTGAGGACATTATTCAGCTAATTCAACAACAAATTCCCAAAAAAGAAAAAACGATTATTTATGCTCTAACGATTAAAATGGCGGAGGATATTGCTTATTTTCTCAACCAGAAAGATATTAAAGCGATTTATTTACATAGCAAATTAGATGTTTTTGCTCGCAATCAAGCAATCACCAGTTTAAGGAGGGGAGTTTATGACGTTATTGTTGGTATTAACCTTTTGCGAGAAGGATTAGACATGCCCGAAGTTTCCTTAATTTGTCTTTTGGATGCCGATAAACCTGGTTTTTTGCGGGATACTCGTTCCCTCATTCAAATTATTGGTCGAGTGGCACGTCACCAAAACGGAAGGGTGGTTCTTTATGGAGACACGATTACTACTAATATGCACCAAGCCATGAACGAAACCCAAAGACGCCGTAATCTGCAAAAAGCACACAACCAAAAAAACCAAATTACTCCCCAAACTGTCCAAAAAGAAATTTTTTTCCTTGACCCGCGTTTAACGGCTTTACGAAAAGAAAAACAAGAACAAAATTGAAGTCAACAAAAATTAAGCAAAGAAATTCGTTCGCTGAAACGAAAAATGAAAAAAGCCGCCCAAGAATTCAATTTTGATAAAGCGGCGGAATACCGTGATTTAATTTTAGATTTACAAAGAGCAGAAATAGGTAAGGAGTAATTTATTTAATTTTGTTGACATGCCCAGTTGCCACAAAAATATTCGACTTTTCAATTCCATTCACCATTTTCGTAGGTTTGTGTCCTTCTAATTATTCCTTCCTTTCCTAGACAGAATTTTTTGCCGCATTTTTGACAAATTTGCCAGTTGTTTTGATTTTTTTCTTTAAACTCTTTGCTCTCTTTTTCAAATTTTTCCTGGTCTTGCTCGCATTTTTCTCATTTTTGTCTTTCCTTTCATTCTTGTTCTGCTTGCTTATTATCTTGGTGCTTATAAATAGTTTGGTAGTGAATTTGACCATTTTCGTCGCGGTTTGCTTTTTTTATTAGCAAGTAGTTATCTCTTATTTCTTTTTCTCAATCAGTTCAATCATTGTTTTCCCAATAGGCACAATGTTCAGAAAGAAATTTTGGCATTTCCGCGAAAGATAAACAATTTTCGCTTCGAGTTTCTTCATATGTAGAACTGTTATTTGTCTCTACTTTTTTGCCATATTTTCATTGAACTAGATAATTGCCAGAACTTAATTTTTGGATTTTTAATCATTTTGGATAATGGATTTTAGCCAGATCCGTTGATTTTTTTCTATCTGTCTGAAACCCATCTTGCCTTTCTGTATTTGAAATTTGGTTCTTCTTATTTTTTGTACTCTCTCTCTCTCTCTCTTGGAAAAAGAAAAATCCGACCAAGCAGAAAATACTCAAAACAATTAAACTAATAATTAGTCATTTTCTTTTAAATTTGCAGTTTTTAGTAGTTTTCATAATTTTTGCTCCTCTTTTATAAACTCTATATAATTATTTTTCTTTCTTTTTATGAACTATTAACTAATGAATAATGAAATTATAAGGAAAGCAAGAATTATTTACAAGCATTATTGAATAGTTTGCTTGGTGGGTTAGTTGGTTATGCTGGAAATGGCAAAAATGTTTCAGAACAAGAATATTAAATAAATGATAATTAATTCGGCTGAATATGAAAAATTTGCGGGATGGTGGGGTAGTCCAGAGGCATAACATGCCAAATTGCACAAAATAATTTTCAATTAACTCAAGTAACTCTTTAATCGTTTGGCTTCAAGTTTATCCAATTACCAATATTTTCTTTTAGCCATCTACTTTTAACAATTCAACACGTTCTTGTATGTCTTTTAATGATGGATCTAACATATTAGTAATTTTAGCAGGAAAATCAAGCAGGCAACAAAAATTATTATATAACAATTAACAATTATTATGACTAGAACCTTAAGCATCGCCATTAAAGAAAATACTTATCAGCATTTAAAGAAAAAGATTAAGCCCGGCAAAATCAGTTCTTTTGTGAACCAAGCGGTCGAAAAGAAATTAAAAGAACTATCCCAAGCTGAAAAGCAAGAAAAAGAACAGTTAAGAAAAAGATTAATCGTTGCTTATCAACGACAAGCCAAAAATAAGAAATTACAGTCGGAATTAGCATTGTGAGATAGTATATCAGGAGACGGCTTAAACTAGTGAATAAAAAAGCTCTCCCGCTTCCTAAACAGGGAGAAATCTGATTAATAGAGTTCCCGCCAACCTTAGAGGACCGCAAACCGATTCGTCCCTGCTTAGTTATTAGTGATAATATCCAAAATCATTATGGAAAATGAATAGTGGCTATCCCTCTAACTACTGAGGATATTGAAAACATTGAACCCTTTGAAGTTCTTGTTAAAAATACCAAAGAAAACGGGTTAGACCATCCTAGCAAACTCCAGTTCAATTATCCCCGCACATTTGACCGGGTAAGGTTAAGGAAGCATTTAGGAATTTTGAATAGAAAGTTTATTGAGGGAGTTAAGAAAGCTTGAAAGATTGCTTTTGATAGTGAAAATTGAGATTGATAATCCTCCCCTAATGAGCCAGGTAGGGAATAAACCAAAATTAAGAGTAAATTGATAAAATAAAGTTAGAGTTGTTTTTTCATTCTACCGTTAGTCTAATGTAAAAATAGTATTATGAACAGACCAAGAATAGCCGAACCCAAACCAACTCTTAATGTTTCCATTAATCCGCATCTATATAGGCGACTAAAAAAAGAAATTGGTGACCGCAAAGTTAGTGGTTTTGTAGAAAGAGCCATTGCGAAAGAATTGGGCGAACATGATAGCCAGTTAGAACGAGAACAAAAAGAATTTGAACGAAAACTAATTGCTGATTACCAAAAAGAATCGAGCCAAACACTAGATAAAGAAGATAAAATGTGAGAAGAAGCCGGGGTGGAAGATTTAACTAATGAATAACAAAATTCCCCGATAGGGAGAAATATGATTGGCAGATTTTAACCGCCAAAAAGTCAAAGAACAGTCTAAAATTCGCCCGGTTTTAATTTTAAGCAACAACTGGCAGAATCGAAATAGTCGCTACGCGGTGGTAGCTCCCTTGACCAGCGAAGAGAAAAAGTTAAAATATGTTGCTAGTTTTGAAGTATTAATCGAAGCCAACCAAGAAAATGGTCTAGATGAAAAAAGCAAAATTCTCTTTCATCGCTTATTAACTGTCGAGAAAGATTTAAGACTAATCGAGCGAAAAGGAAAAGTAGAGAAGAAAATTTTAACCCAGGCGTGGAAAGCTTTATGAGTAGTTTTTACGGGCAACAAATTAAATGATAAACAGGTTTTTGAATTAATTCGACTGAATATCCTGTTTTAGAAAGGTATTGATAATCCTCTCCTAATTGCCCTTAGGTAGGGAATAAACCAAAATTAAGGCAAAAATCGCCAATAATTATCCAAAAAGAGAGAAACAAACGACCAAAAAGTCCGGATTAAATTTAAAAATTAGCAATCACTAGTTCAACATTTTCTAACTTTTCCGTAAAATTGTTAACATAATGATCAACGATAATCAAAATGAACAAAACAAAGAAGTTCAATCCCAAAAAGAAACTGTTTCCGAGCAAACAACCGCTAGTAGCCAAGAAAAAACCATCCCCTCTGCTCCTTCGGATAAATTTAACCAAGATACTTATTTTGCTTTGTCTTCTACCCAATTCGAAAAACTAAAATCAATTTCGGAAAAGATTTTTAAATCAACTGAGGAAGTTTTATTAGCTGTTATTCAACAAAAAATTTTGCCGAGACTTGGATAGAATCAAGATACGGGATTGTTAAGGAACAGAGTGAATTTAATGCGGATCGATTTTGCTTGGGGCCAGGAAGGAAATTGAAAGATACTCGAATTGAATGTTGCCTCTCATAGTGGTTGAATAAATAGCAGTCTTACGGCACAAGCATCATTGGCTAAGGAAACTGGTCTTCCTCTGGCTCCGGAATTAACGTTTTACGCTAAATATTTGTTAAAAAAACTTGGTTCCCGAATAGCAATTGTGGTGATAAGAGCGGATTATAAAGAATGGTATGAAGAATTAAATCGATTATTAACACAAATCGAAGACTTGGGTGGAGAACACCAAGTTTTCTGTCTTTCGGAAACTAGTCCACAAGATATTATCAATTTCAATCCCTCAGGATTATTTTGAAAAAGCAATTCCCGACTAGTAGAGCGAGCTGAATTAGTGCTTAAAGTAGCTAAATTAGGCTTACCACAAATTCCTTCCTTTGAGGCTTTATTTATTTCCGGAGACAAAGCATTTCTTGCTACCCTAAGAAACCAAGATACCAGTGGCGTCATTCCTCCGACTTACGTTTTATCCAGGAGTGATTTAACCAAAAATTTTGCTTTGCTTCCGAAAGATAAAGCGGTTCTAAAACCCGGTGATTTGTCCCGCGGAGAAGGAATCAAGTTTGGAAAACATTTTGCTGAAAAGGCTTGGCAAGCGGAGATTGAAACTGCGACTAATTCTCGTGAGGAATGAGTGGTGCAAGAATTATGTTATTTAAACAGGACCAAAGATGGCCAATATGAGGATATTACTGTTTTTCTAGCTGATGGCCTGGTCCAGGGGGTTGCTTCACGAGTTTCGGCTAGTGAAGTAATAAACGTAGCTAAGGGCGGAACTTCCCAAGCAGTTATTTTGCAAGGAGCAAAAAAGGAACAACAAGAAAAGTGGCAAAGCCGAATAGAGGTTCCTCTGAAAAGAATATAGGGTGATGGTTTGTGGCTATTGCTCATTAGTGCCAGAAATTATGGTCTTCGCATGGCAACTAAATTAGGTGATTATTATTTTTGTACTCTTGATATCGACCAAAAGGGAAGCCAATATCATTTTTCCCAAGTTTCTTATGTAGAAAGTTCAAAGGAAGACATTATTATTTGTTGACTAAAGAGTTACTCGAAAATATTCCTTATGTAAATTTGACTATTCAACTTTCTTCTTAACTTCTTCTTTCTTTATTTGCAATTCGGCGATTTTTTTCTTTAATTCGCCAACTCGCTCCAATTTCTTTTCTGTTTCTTCCCGAACTTGTTTTTCTTTATCGAGTTTTCTTGTCAAATCTTCTATTTTTTTTATCATTTACCTGTTCTCTAATTCTCTTTCTAAGTCTGCTATTTTTGTATTCCTTTCCTCAATTACATTATTCAACTCCTTCTTCTTCTCAAGTTCGCTCAATTCTTTTTCTTTGCTAACTAACTCCTCAACGAATTCTTCAAATTGCTTGCTTAAATCTAAATTCTTTTCAACTGTTTGCTGAAAATCACTTTCAGAAAATTGGTTTTCTTCCTCTTCATCAAAATACTGAGACTCTTTTTGAATAACCTCCGTTTTTGCTTTATCAAAATCAAATAACTCGCGAATTTCCTCTGATAATTTTTCCTTTTGAAAATCTTCTTTTTCTGACTCTAGCCGAACTATTTCTTCTTCCTTACTTTGGAATTTTCTTCAGCCTCACTATATCTGCCTTTTGCTTTGTCACTAGCATCAAAAGCAAAATCTTCTAAGCTGCTCAGCAATTTGCTTAATTTTAGTTTCCGACCTTTTGTCTGCTGAACAACACAAGTTTGTAACACTGCTAGGCAAATATTCCAAGCCATCATCAATTTCAAAAAAAAAAAAAAAAAAATTAAGCCCGAAGGGCTTTTTGGATTGCGAAGCAATTCAAGTTAATAAAAATTAGGTTGAAGGCGGGAGGCGAAAAATGAGGGAAAAGTGGGCGAAATTTCAACTTTTTTGGGGAATGCGAACCCGAAAAGTAAGCAGAGAAAGTTTTTTTGCAAATAAGGTTTCGAAGTGTTGACAAGATAGGAAATTTCTAGGGATTTTTTAATATTTTCAACTAGTTTGCTTTCAGGTGCTTTACTTCAATCGCAAAAACCTCCTGAATTGTTAGTAAGTTTTCCAAGAAATTTGTCTATTTTTCCTCCTACACCCGAACTAAGAGAACTAATTCCCATATCACCAACAGTTCTTCAAAATGCTTTTACGCGGTCGCTGTCGCAGAGTTCCCTCGTTCCTGTGCCTATCATTCAAGTTCCTGTCCCGATAAATACACCAGCAGTTGGATTTATGAAACTTGCTCCAATCGCAGCTCCAGCTTTAAATGTAAATCGACTTCATTTAGAAACATTAGAATCAATAGTTTCATTCACTCCAACTTCGCCTCCTCTTTCATGATAGTTAACTGCTTTTCGGATTATCGAGAGAGCACAATTACAAAATTTGTTGTCTTCTGCACAATGCAAACCAACAAGATTAACCACATATAAATCATCATTAACTAATAAATGAGTAGATTGTCGTGCTTCGTCGATATTAGTCAGTCAAAGTTCTTCTTTATATCTATATGATTTGGTTGGACTTCACGTCCAACTTCCTGGGAGAAACGTCCCTTCGCCAGGTCGACGAACTCAATTTCGACTATTTCCTTCAATACTTATTCTTATATCAAAATCAGTTGAATAAGGGCAACCTAAATAACGACAAGGACCATAACCCGGATTAATTTCATTTGCTCTTTCACTTTGATAGTGTTGTTTATTTTGACCCGAGAAACTTTGCCTTTCAGTGTGGTTTGCCGGTTCAATTGGTCGACCGCCTAAGAAAATTCTGGTTTCCGTTTTGGGAATAAATGGTGCTTTTTTAAAGCCTGTTATTGGTTTAAAATTATCATTTGTCATTAGTTATTTTCTCCTTTTGACAAATTATTTTTTGCTACATTTAAAGCCATAGCAACTTGGTTTTTTTCGTTGTATACTTTCATAATAATTACCTCCAATATAAAATAACTAATTCAATTTCTTGCTTTGATACGCTTCCTAGACTAACTGGAATTTTTAAGATGGTGTCGCATATCCGCTTACAGTTTTACAAGCATCTTTGGCTTAACTAGTTTCTTTCAAAAGCCTTCATCACCAAGGCTAGTCAACCTCTTTTTGTTTTTTTTATTGCTAACTAACTTTATTTCTTGTTCGCCACTAGGGCGTTATTGGGTGTTCGTAAATAAATATTTGTCGGTTTTTCATAAGTTCATTTCATATTTATATATAATTATTTTACTCTTCGATTAAATTTTTTTATATAATTTGGTGAACCAAATTTATAATTTTACTTTTTTATTCTATGCTCTATGCTTTGTCTATATAATGATTGTGTACGCATGCGGGAGGAAGAATTAATAATTATCTTTGTAATTAGGCTTTTGTTTTCTGCCTAGTCAGTAGCCAATGGCTAAAACTGACGCTCCAAAAAGCACTAACCCACCAATTAGTAAATAAGTATTAGTATTGGGATTTTTAGCGTCATTTTGGTTATTTTTTAGGGTTGTTGTCTTAATTTCGGCTTTTTGCGGGCTTTCCTGCTTAACTATCTCTTGTAATTGGGCTAAATGAGCGTTGTAATTAGTATTACCCCTACCAACTAAATCTTTGGCGTGAACCAATAAATCCATTAAAACTGTGCCTTTTCAGCTTTGTGCCATTATTTATCACTTACTTTGCTAGCAATTTTGTCCCAAGCGGCAATTTCTTTATTTCTTTATTCGTCTTGGCTGGCTAAACGGACGGAGCGGCGTCAATATTCCTCCTCGCTCTCGCCTTCGTGGTAAGTTTGATAATTGATTTGTTGCTGTTCGAGAAAAGTCCGCACTTTTTGGCTGTTTTCAACTTCAATAACTATTATTTCTTTCATATAGTTATTTTTGGGCTTTGGTGGGTTTTTTGGACTTTTTCTTGTATTTGCCAATACTTCTTTGTCAGCTGCGATTTTTTAAGTGAGTGGGGGAGAAATTATGAATATGGGCGAGTAGTTTTTTCTTGGTTTTTCTTTTTTCTGGGCTTGCTGACTTTGTTTTTTCATTTACCATTGGGGGGGTCTTTGATTCATTCGTCCTGTTCCGAGAAAAAAACTGCCAAAGCAAAAAATATTAATAAATGGACTTACAAAAAATCAAAAATACTCTTTTTTTACCCAAAACTGATTTTCCTCTCAAAAATATCAACCACCAAAAAACAGAAACTAAAATTCGCCAAAAATGAAAAAAGCAGCAAATTTATCAAAAGTTATTGGAAAAAAATAAAAACAATTTTTCTTTTATTCTCCATGATGGTCCCACTTATGCTAATGGCGAAATTCACATCGGTCATGCTTTAAACACGATTCTCAAAGACATTATCGTCCGTTTTTACGCTTCCCAAAGTTATTATACTCCTTTTCTTTTGGGTTGAGATTGCCACGGCTTGCCAGTTGAACACAAAGTTTTGCAAATTTATCCGAAGCAGGAAATAGATTTGCGAAAAAAATGTAATGAATATGCTTCCCAACAAGTAGAAATTCAAAAAAAACAGTTAGAACAATTAGGAATATTTACTGACTACGGCAAATTCTATATTACCAAGGATAAACACTACGAAGCCGAGCAAATCCGCATTTTTGCAGAAACGGTTAGAAAAAATCTCATTTACCGCGGCTGAAAACCGATTTATTGGTCTTGCTCCCACGCCACGGCTTTGGCCGAAGCCGAAGTAGAATACTTACCCAAAGAGGATTATTCATTTTATTTTTATTTAGAGTTAGTTAATAGTAAAGGTATTTACGGTTTTAAGCAAGTTTATTTATTAATTTGAACTACCCAACCATGAACTATTCCTGCTAATCAACTAGTGGCTATCAAAAAAGCGGCAAATTATAGTTTAGTAGAATGAAGCGACAAGCATTTTCTTATACTAACTAAAAAAATTACTGAACTGCCTTGGTTAAAAGAAGTTAAAATAATTAAAAAGGATATTTTCGGTGCCGAACTGATTGGTTTAAAATATTATCATCCTTATCAACAAGAAATAGTTAGCAAAATTATTGACGGAGGAGAACTTATTGCTGAACAAGAGGGAACCGGTATTTTACATTGTGCTCCGGCTTTTGGTGCTGAGGACTTTTCCTTGGCTCAAAGGGAAAAATTAACTATTACTTGTCCTCTTGATGAAAAAGGCTATTTTACCCAAGAAATTAAAATTCCTGAGTTAATCGGAAAGCATTACCAAGAAGTTAGCAAATGAATAGTAGAAGATTTAACCAAAAAAAACCAAGTTGCTTACCAAAGCCAATTTATTCATAGTTATCCCCATGATTGAAGAGACAAATCACCCTTAATTTACCGCTTAACCGAGCAATGATTTATTAATATTCAAAAGATTAAACCAGATTTATTAAATAATATCGAAAAAGTAAAATGATATCCTCGTTGAGCCAAAGAAAAAATGCAACAATCTATTAGCAGCCGCGGTGATTGGTGTATTTCCCGCCAAAGAAAATGAGGAGTGCCGATACCTGTCTTATTTAATGAGGACAAACCAGTGTTAGTTCCTGAAATCATTGATTATATTGCCGGCATATTTGAAAGAAACGGCTCGGATTGCTGATTTGATGGCAGCATTTTGCCACAATTACAAGAAAAATTTCCTCAACTAATTAATAAAAATACTAAATTAGGAACTGATATCATGGATGTTTGGTTAGATAGCGGAGTTTCGCATTGGTGTGTTTTAAATAAATTATATCTTTATCAAAATAAAGAGTTTAAAATTTAATTAAGGAAAATGGCACAAAAAATATTAGAAGCATTAACCCAACTCCTAAAAAAAGATGAAAGGCTAGTAGTAGACGGTAAACTTGCCAAAAATAAAATTATTGAATTAGCACTTCAATTAGATTTAAGGCTTCTGAAACTTCTCAAATCTTCCCCCGAAATCAAGAAAATATTTTTCCAAGAGGTTGACGACATACTGGTTTTCGATAAAATAAAGCTTCAGAGTTTTATTTCTAATAAGCAATTTCTCCCGGATAGTTTTACTGCCTACAAAAATAAAATAGGCTTGTCGTCTGATAGGCAATACTTAACCGATAGCGGAGAAGTTGTGTTAGTTTGACCTTATAAAGATTGTATTTTGGAAGGAGGGCAGACCAAAGAGGACGCCAAAAGACAGGAAATATTTTGAAATGAAACTTTGGCACCGGACGAAATTGACCGCCTTGCTAAATTCCGAGCCCGTCAAGCCCAAGCCCAACCAAAAGAAGAGCCTAAATCAATGAGCAGTGAAGAATACTTAGCCAAGTTAGCCCGCGAGAAAGCCGAAAAGCAAACCCAAGTCCAAGAGAGCGTCCCCAGCCAAGCCAAAGAAAATGAACAACCAGTCAACAATCACTCTTAATCCGGGACAAATGCTCAAATCCGCCCAAGAATTAAAGCAAAGTTTAAGCCAAATTGCCCCTGACGAGAGCAAAACTACCAAAATAGTCACTTTTGCCCTAGTAGCCACTGCTCTTGTAGGCATGTTTGTTTACCACTATGTCCGCTCCCAGGAGGAAACTAACTAATGACCTGAGGTTTACCGGATTTAAAGGGAGCTTTAACTGGCTTTTACGACGAAAAGATTAAACCGACTATCGAAAGCAAAAGCACTGAGTATAAAACTCTCCTCCAAGAAAACTTTGCCCGCCGTGCTAACACTCAGCAAGCGATTGTGGTTATTCTTTTAGCGGTGTTTCTCTTATTAGCTCTCGCCTTTTTCTGACAAGACAAGCCCAACGGAATTCAATGGAAGTATCTCCTCCTAGGAGCCTTAATTGCCTATACTACTCGCTATGTCTTTGCCCTCAAGCCCCAAGAATTTGCCCAGAAATTGTTTAAAAACTAAAATTACTATATGCCTAAATACATTCTCGATGGTAATTTGGATATTCAGCCGCTTCTCAACATGAGAAAGCTTCTGAAAAAGATTTTAGCAGAAGCCGAAGATGAAATAGACGAAATGGCGGCAGTTCAAGCCTTTGAAGTCTGCTATGAATTAGCTTGACATACCTGCCAAAAAGTCTTAAAATACCAAGGGCAATTCGCTCGCTTTCCTCGCGAGATTTTCCGCTTATCAGCAAAATTTGGTCTGATTAAAGACCCAGAAGTATGGTTTGAATTCATGGATATCAGAAACTCAACTTCTCATACTTATGACGTCAACATTTTGGAGAAAATATTTTCCCTTTTGCCCCGCTTTGTTCAGGAATTTGATACTTTAATCAAAAATTTGCAAAAATTAAAATAATATGTTGCAAATAGAAAAAAGGCATTTTAAGATTCTTCGCTCAATCCTGTCTAAGCACCCTTACCATTTTTACGCTTATGGTTCTCGGGTAAAAGGTGACGCTCGCCAATTTTCGGATCTGGATATCTGCTACCAAGAAGAGATGCCCAGTCGCGTGGCTAGTGAAATAAGATGAGAATTCGAACAATCCAATCTTCCTTTTATCGTCGAACTTGTCAACTGAAAAAACATGCGTCCAGCCTTTCAAAAAGCCATTCAAAAAGATTTAACCTTGCTTTCCTCCCCCGCCCAAACTCACCAAATAAAATAACCCAAATAAATATGAATAAATATCAAATACTTAAATACGCCGTAATTGGCTTAACAACTATTTCTCGTGCTTCCTCTGCTGCTAGTTTTCTCAAACCGCAATTGACCCTTATTCCTCGCTACACTGAACCCACTAAACAAGTCTTAATTCAAGCCGGTAATGCTTGCTGAAATTATGAACTTTCCCAGCAAACCCAGCCCAATTTTACTTGCCAAGAAATCCCAGAAGGAATCCTAATCAACTATGAATAACGAAAATAAATGATTGAATAAAAAAACCCTCCTTATCCTCGCAGCAGTAGTTGCGGGAATTGCCCTCGTGTATTACTTTAACAAGAAAAAAAGCCCAGAATAACCATGAACGACAAAATTTATCAAACCGTTAAATGGCTTACCATTGGCATTTTAATTGGCTACGCTGGCAAGTATGCTTTAGCTTTATTGAAAGCCAAAAGAGACCAAAATAGCTCTAGTTCCAGTTCCCAGTCCAAACAGAGTGAAATAATTTACCGCCATGATAATGAATATTAGCCGAAAGGAGCAAAATGTCTAAAAAGTGATTACTCTGATTAGCCCTTTGTTTCTTTGGCGGTTGCTACCTTCGCCATTGAGTTCATACCGGAGCTGGACAATTTAGGCAATTAAAACACTTGATTGGAGATGATTGATAATGTCCACACCTGGTCTTTTATTTACTAGTGCTCTCGCTATCCTTTGTGGCTTTTTAGCCCAGCAAACCGTAGAAACTTTGGTGAACACTTGCTTAACTGTTTTGCCTTTTAAGATTCAGACTGTTCGCTAAGGTTGCTGGGAGGGAAAAAACTAGCTTTAAAGGTTTTATCATTAACTAAGGGACAACCTAATATCTATTTTCAGGCTTTGATAGTTGAAACTTCCTCCCAGCCCTCCTTAAAAGTTTACCTAATCTCGTATTTTGTCAACTTATCAACCCCAAGCCCTTGCTAAATTAGCCCTAAGTTGACAAAACTATTAATTACCAAGTTTACAAAATCATGCTAACCCTTCCCAAAAAGACTCAAGAACAAGTTTTATCCCTCGCCCAATTACAAGCTCTCTGTCAAACTCCCTCGAGTATCCATTTGCCCTATCGCCATGACAAACTGCTTGAATGTGTCCTTTTAATGGGCTTTCTTGGCCTCCGGGTCTCTGAAGCGATTAATTTTCCCTGACAGCCCATTCCCGTAGAAGATAAGCAAGCTTTTTTAGTTCACGGCAAAGGCAATAAGCAAAGATTAGTTTTTAATCTGCTTAATCACCCTTATATTACCAAGAAAGCTAAATCTGACCCTAGCCAAGACCACTGAACCAAAATCAGCCGGCAAGCCATCTGAAAGCACTTAAAACAAAAAAGCCTTGAACTCAACCTACCCTGAACCATCACTCCCCATACTTTACGCCGCTCTTTTGCTTCCATTCTGCACTATGATTTTCACCTCGAAAGCCCTTCTCTCCAACAACTCCTCGGCCATTCCCAATTCCAAACCACTGAACGCTATTTAAAAAAAGATTCCCGTTTCCTGCTCAACAGCCTGCAAAGAAAAGGATTTATGTGCTAATCCTGAAATAAGCACACCCAACTAAAATACTATGTTAAAGAAACTCAAACAAATAAGATACGAATATCTTGCCCTCGGTATTGTGCTAGCCATCGCTTTCAAATTTGCCCTAAATAAGTGAAAGGAGAGTAAACAATAATGGCTCTCCTTAACCGCAAAAACAGCCCGAATTCCCCGCCCAATGATTACTGAAAAGAGGTTGACCAAAAAGCCCATTACTTAATTGCCGACCTGCTCAACCAAAAACTGCCCTTGCCTAGTTTAAGAGAAAAGAAAAATTTTAATCCCACTGATGATGCCGATTATCGCACTTTGTTAGCCGATTACCAAGAGCAATATGGCGAAACCTTACCAGAAGCTGAACAAGTGGCTCACGAAATTGCTTACGAATATTTGCTAATGGTGATTAAAAGCTTGGTCGGAACTTTAAAAGGATTTACTTGCCATGAGCCTGAATACATGAAGGGAGTTGTTTAAAATGCCCCAAATCAACAAAACCAAAGCCCCAAAAGCCAAAGCTAAAAAGCCTACTCGCCAAGCAGTTAAAGCCAAAAATACCGTCCTTGTGAAAGCCCAGCCTAAATCTAGCCCGAAAAGCAAAAACACCCTTGCTTATTTCCAATGTATGTCCGCTTGCTGCCAAAAGAAGCAAAAAATTAGCCAGACTGCCCATGAGTGTAAGACCAATGCCTTAGCCATTAATGCCAAAATGTCGGTTGCTAAAACGAGAGCCGCCAAAAAAATCAAAGCCGGTTATGAGACGCTAGGCAAAGGTTTAAGTGAGTTTATTAAAGCGACCCAATAACATGATTACCTGCTGTGAAATTGCTCTAATGTTAGGCTTAACTAACGTGGTCTCTTTGGCTATCTTTGCCGGCTACACCATTAAATTAAGAACCCGGCAAATGATTTTAGAAAAAAAGAACGGCCAAGAACAAGCCCAAATCAACCAACTCCAAGCCGAAATCCAAGCCCTCAAAGAAAAAAACCATGCCTAAATGCCTAATTTGCGGACAAACTTATCTCTTGCCCAGCCCGATGCCCGAAATTTGCCGTCAATGCTTTTCCCAAACTAGAATTAATGTCTAAAAAACGAAAATATTGCCCACACTGCCAATACAAAGACCACCTGATTGACAAATTAGCTTCCCGGTTAGAAGAATGCCAAGCCCAATTGATTGAACGAAATCCTAAACCCTAAACTTATGACTATTCTCCTGATAATCTTGCTCATTTTACTAGTAATTTATCTCTATTACCAGAATCAGCAATTAAAAACTAATGCTCCTAGTTTCCCTGGTTCACAATCAGAAATAATCTTTTCCGCAGAAGAGCAAGAAATCCAGCAATTAAAAGAAAGCATTGCCCAATTACAAGCCCAAATAGACGAATTAAAGAAAAATAATGACTAAAGACCAACTCGCCCAAGAAATTAAGCAAGAATTTGCCAAAGGAAACTTCAAACCCAGCCAATTAAAACGCAGTAAAAGCACCGGAGATATTCCCCTTACTCCCCCTTTGCCGAATATTCCCTTAAAAAAATCAGCCTCGCAACCAGAAACCCCGCAGACCCTCAGCCCTGAACAAGAAATCAGCCAACTCCAAAGCCAAATTAAATTCCACGCCCAAACTAGCCAAAATTACCTCCAATCGCTCCAAGCGGCCCAAGCCAAAATCACCGAGTTAGAAGAACAGTTAACTGCCAACCAACAAGCCAAAAATGATTTAGCCCAGCAAATCCTCGAACTACGCCTAAAAAACTTAAAAGACTTTGGCGAATACTACGAGGAAAAGCAAGCTTTAAAAGGCGAACTAGAAGAGAATATCCAAGAGGGTGTTCAAGAAATTCAGAAACTAGAAAACAAGCTCCTCGCCTTAAATCGCAAAAAACTCACTCTCCAAAGCCAATTACAGCAAGCGGAATTGAAGAATACCCGCTTGGAATTAAAGGCAATTGAAAAAAAACCAAAAGCCCACTCACCCCTCTTTAATTTTCCTTGGGTGCTGGTTTTTAGCTTAGGGGTGGTGGTTTTGTTTACCGTGAAAGGAGAAAACCATGACTAACTATAGCCTGGAAGAATTTAAAGTTTGATTAGAAGCAAAGCCCGAAAGGAAAAGAGTGCCTAACTGGGATACGGTTTTTAGTTCTTGGACAGAATTTCTCCGCGGAGAGAATGGTTCGTATAAAAGTTGAACGGTACATCAAGGAATTATTCAGAGATGAAAAACCGAAGTAGACCAAACAGAGAGAGAGAGAGAGAGAGAGCAGGAGGAAAACCCTAATATGGTAAACGCCCAAGAGTGATTAAATCAAAAGTTTCCGACCCCAGAAAGCAAAATAATTGTGCATAGCTTTTACTTTCATAGTGACCGAGTTAAAGGCAGTTGTGACCCTAGTTGAAACCAGCGACATCAACGATTTTATTTGCCGGAAGCGGGAAACTTAGCTGGTGAATTAGTTTTTGAGGATTTTATCAACTTAGTCAGCTTTGGTTTTGATAAAAATAGCCAAATAACCAAAGTAAAGTTTGTTAATTGTCCTCAGATAAATGTTTTAAATTTGCGTAACATGAGCAATCTCCAAAAAGTAGAAGGACTAGAGCATTTAACTAATCTTTCGCAGTGTAGTTTTAGTGGTCGCCCTAATCTCCCATCACTCCTCACTTTCTTAGAAGCCTGAAAAGCCGAAATAACCCAATTAAAAGCCCAGTTAGCCGAGTATGAAAACCAAGAAACTACCAGCCAAACTAGCTCAGAAAGCTCTTATTCTGACTTAGCCAGCAAAGTCAGCCAAAAAAAAAGCCGAATTAGCTAATTTAAGAGATAATACCCGTAAACCCACCAAGTATCTCCGCAAAGAAATTGAGTTGTTGGAAAAAATCCAAACCCTAGAAACGCAAATAAGCGCCCTCCAAACTAAAGAAACTAACTACCAAGAGCAAATTCGCCAGAAAGAGCAAGCCCTCCAAATCGCCAAAAACGCTTTAAAAACTAACCAGGATAATTTAAAGGCCACTGAAACTAACCTCAACCAAACTATCTCTGAACTCAACACCCAGATTAATAACTTAAAGCGAACTAGCCAGCAAGAGAAAGATAAACTAACCCAAGAATTAGCAGCCTTAAAAACTGCCAAAATAACCAGCGAAAAAGCCTTAAACCAAACTATTACCAATCTCCGAAAAGAGATTGAAAGCTTAACTAATACTTCCAAAAAAGAAAAGCAAGGACTTGACCGGAAAATCAATCAACTCCAAACTGACTTACAAGCCAAAAATGAAGCCGAGAAGAGATTACAAGAGGAGAAAACTCGCTTAGAAGCCCAACTTACTGCTCTCCAAAAGGAAAAAACTGCCACGCAAGAAAACTCTTAAAGGAACGCCAGCAAGCCCTCACCCAATGAGAAAAAGAGAAACAAACTCTCCAAGAGCAAATCACCCAATTAAATAATGAGTATGCTCAAGCACAACAAACCAATCTAGAAAAAAATAATAAACTCACTGAGCAATTAAAGACCAAAGAAGCTAAAATTAATGAACTAAACCAAGAAATAACTGAATTAAGCAAAAAAGCAACAGTGAGCCACAAGCTCATTCAAACTGACCCGATAATCAACCAGGAGCTTCTCGACACCCAAGAAGTTTTGGGTAGAAAACAAAAAGAGCTGAGTAAATTAAGAACTGAAGTAATCGAACTCAAAGCCAAATTAAGAATTAGACCTGAGCCTGACTTACCCCAAACTGAACCAATTAGCCCTTGGCTCTTAGGAGTTATTTTGGTAGCTGGAGTTGGCTTGCTTTGATTACTTAACCGGAAAGGAGAGAAACAATAATTGTGACTAATCCATTTGATAAAGTTAACCCCAAAAAGGTCATGAAAGAATGACTTAGCGAACAATTCAATAGACGTATAAAACAGCCTATCGCCAAAAAAACCGAAGAGTTAGAAAACCAAGCCTCCCAAAAATGAAACGAGTATAGCGGCAAAGCCCAAGAGCAAGCCGCTAAGCCTTTTGACTATTACCGGAAACAGGAGGCTTTTTATCGAGGGTTATTTTGGATTTGTGTGGCTTTGTTGTTGATACTTTGGATTATTAGTGGGAGTTAAAAAACTTAATAAGATGTTGAAAACAATTGCTACTTTTAAAGATAAAGACACTCACGACTTCTTTTTTGGCAAAAGAATTAAGAAGTGAGAAAGGTTTGCTGAACCTGCTCTTTTGAAATTAACTAGACTAAATGCTATTGCTTCATTAGAAGAATTAGTTAATAGACCCGGCGACTTTTTGCACAAACTAAAAGGAAATCGTAAAGGGCAGTGAGCAATTACTATCCGAGGGCTTTATCGCATTTGCTTTTACTGAAAAAATGGCAAAGCTTACGAAGTAGAGATTACAAACTATCATTAAAACTAAATATATCATGCCTAAAAGAGAAATACCTCCTATTCATCCGGGAGAAATGTTGTTGAAGGAATTTATTAAGCCTTATAAGATTACTCCTAAGAAATTAGCTCAAAGTATCAATGTTGCCGAAGGATACATCCAAGAACTTGTTCAAGAAAAAAGGAATATAAGTCCTTCTTTGGCATTTCGCTTGGCTTTTTATTTTAATACTAGTCCTGATTTTTGGATGAATTTACAGCAACATTACGATTTAGAAATTTGTCGCGATTATGAAGAAACCCAGATTAAAAAAGAAGTCCATCCTTTAATTATTCCTAGAAAAACTTCTGCTTTTAATCGTTTACAAAAATAGTTTCTTTAAATCTCTTTTCCAAGCACTTTTTTGTCCTTGCCTAAAACTTTCACTTTAATTATTTAATCTACCCTCTATTTTCCTTGTATAAGACAACAACACAACACAATTAACAATAACAAAATTTAGTTATGGGAATGGCTTTTTAAGTGAAGAGCAATTAAGGAAAAGATTAGGGATCCGTATGTGTTTTTAATAAATTCCAACCGACACCAACGCTTATTTTTTTACTGAATGACCGAAAGCCGAAGCGGTGAAAGCATGTCCTAATTCGTGGACAAAAAATATTTAAAAAACTTCACACATAACAAAAAAGAGTTATTTTAGTAATATTTTTTCATCTCTTAAAAATTTGTCGATTTGCTTTTTTTTGTGATACAATAACCAAAACCGGAACTAGAATAAAAGCCGCAACTATTAAAATTTTTTCGAACAATTCTCTTTTCATAATTTTTTCAGTGTGTAAACTCATAGCAATGGAGGAGGCTAAGGGATTCGAACCCTTGGATACCACAAAGTATCAGCAGTTTTCAAGACTGCCGCCTTAAACCACTCGGCCAAACCTCCTTTATTGGGATTTTTACAGGCGTTAAGCAATTTTTTGGGCTCACAAACAAAAAATCATTTATATATGCCCAACGAACTAGAAAATTTTTTTGCTGACTTGCAAGCAAGAGGAATAATTGCCGATGTCGCTAATTTAAAAAGCAATTTTTATCAATTAAAGGCTAGCGAAAAAGTAATTTATTGAGGAGTTGATTGTACTAATGACAGTTTACATATTGGACATCTGTTTACAATTTTGCAAATTATTCGCTTTGCTCAGCAAGATTTTCGGATTATTTTACTTTTAGGGGGAGCGACCAGCAAAATTGGTGATCCTAGCGATAAATCAAAAGAACGTCCACAATTAGCAAAAAATGAATTAAAGAACTACTACCAACAAATTGAAGAGCAAATTACTAATCTTTTGTTGCAAGAAAAAAAAATCGGCAAATTAGACTTTCAGCCTTTAGAACTATTTTACCGTGATAATCCAAGTTTATTAAAGGGAATTTACCAAGTATTAGAGTTAGGGAAAGACGACCCATGAAAAAAATATCTTCAATACATTTGACCATTAGACAAAAGCAGCCACTTTCAAATTCTCAATAATGCTGAATGATTAAGTAAATTAAGTTTTGTGGATTTTATTGACCAAGTAGGGAGAAACATTACGATTAATTATTTATTAGCCAAAGAAACTATTAAGCAAAGAGTGAATTCCGAAACTGGTTTATCTTTTTTAGCTTTTAGTTATTCCCTTTTACAGGCTTATGATTTTTATCACCTTTATGAGAACTATAACTGCCATGGTCAATTAGGCGGTAGCGACCAATGAGGAAACTTAACTACTGGTCTAAAACTGATTAGAAGCATTCACCCAGAAAACAAAACTTTTGCTTTTACTTTTCCTTTATTAACCGACAAAGAAGGCAAAAAAATTTCTAAATCTTCTACTGGTAAAACTATTTGACTTTCACCTAAAAAAACTTCTTTTTCTGAATTTTATGATTTTTTGCGCAACATGCCCGACGAACAAGCCTTAAAATTGCTTTATCAATTTACTTTTCTCACCAAGGAACAAGTCGAAAAAATTGATCAGTTAAATAATCCTCGCAAGTTAAGAATACCGCAAAGAATTTTGCTTGAACTATTATTTTATTTGCTTTACCAAGAGAAGGGATTAATTTGATTGAAAGGATTATAAGCAACAAAAAAAATGCTTCAACATGAGGAACTTTTGCTAGTCTAGGATGCGAAAGAAATAATAAATTCGCGTATATATTTAACTCAATTAATTAAAAATTTATCAATAAGCATGCCTTTTTCTTTTCCTCATTTATTTGCCGAAATTAACCAAAAATATTTTGAATCTGGGGACGAAAAAATTGAACTTGTGGCTTCTCCTGATGACCTTTCTTTGGCAATTGCTTCCCTCTCTTATTTAGAAATAGAGGAATTAGAGAAAATATTTTATTCACTTTATAACAAGTTGTTTTACTTCTTTAATTATCTAGACTATCAGGTTAAATTTTCTTCTTTTCCTGAAATAGACGAAAGCAAACTCCAAAATTATCTGAACTTTCTTTATTTTAATCCTTTTTTATGAAAAGGTCAGCCATTAGACGTAATTATTAGTCAGTGGCAACTAACGGAAAAAATTACTCTGCGGCGGAATGTTTTACAATTGCCGAGTGTTGATAAAAAAGAACCAACCAGTGTGCGTTCTGATATTTTAATTCTCAAAAAGGCTCTTAATGACCTTGGTTGAGGAAAAATAGGCATTACCTCTCCCCAAATTAAAAAAACTCGTCCTCAACTCGTTAAAAAATCGTCTTCGGTCAACACAAACGACACGAAAAAAGAACAAAAGAAAATTACCGAAAAAACGGAAAGCGTGGTAAGCGAGCCAAAAAAAATTGAAAACGATACTTCATTCAAGCCAATTTCGTCCGTTAACCAGGCAAAAACAGACGAAAAGCAGCCAAGGGGCAAAAAAAGACCTCTCAGCCAGGAAATTATTGAGCAATGAAAAAAAAAAAAAATAATTGAATTAGGGGTTCATACTCGCTTTAGTGCTCTGGATGGCATAAATGACCCGGCCGAATATATTAAAGCAGCTCAGGAAAAAGGATACAGTGCTCTGGGAATTACCGACCATTATAACGTCCAGGCTTTTCCCGAATTTTGGCAATTTCGTAGCCCTAATCTTCAATTGATTTATGGCTGTGAAATGGAAATGCTGGAAGACAAATTGCCACCCTACATTTTTAATCACAGTCCCCAATCGCGAAAATTTTTAGAACAAGATATTGAAAATTTAACTTACTGTATTTTTGATTTGGAAACAACGGGATTTTTTTCGGAATATAATGAAATAATTGAAATTGGTTACGTAATTTGAAAGAAAGGAGAAGTTCTGAAAGAAAAAAATTACCTGGTTTGCCCAGAAAAAGAAATTGCTCCGGAAGTTTTACTAGCTTGATATACGGACATTGACCCAAAGAAATTAAAAAAAGAAAAAAAAATTAAGCAAATTTTGCCCGAAATTCGTCAAGATTGAAAAAATTGCGTTCTGGTGGCCCACAATGCTCGCAATTTTGATTTTACCTTTGTCAATAAAGTTTGGAAAGAAAAATTTGCTGAAGAATTGCCTTATCCAGTAATTGATACTCTACCCTTGGCTTGAACAATCCTTCCAGAAAGAAAATCATATAGTTTACAAAAGTTAAGCCGTGCCACGGGAAAAGGCAAAATTCAACAAGCCCACCGGGCTTTGGAAGATAGCAAATTATTAACTGATTTGTTTACCAAATTATTAAAGTCTCTCCAAGAACAAGGAATTAAGCAGTGAAAAGAAGTTGAAAGCCTAATCAATCACCAATATTTTCCTAACCGGGGCTACAAAGTCAAAGTTTTAGCCAAAAACCAAGAAGGATTAAACAGTTTGTATCAATTAATTACCCTTTCTCACACTGACAATCTTTTTCGAATGCCTTGCGTTTTCCGTTCAGATTTAGAAAAATACCGACAAAATCTTCTCGTTGGTGCCGCTGGCAACCGCGAAGGAGAAATTTTTTCCCTTTTTAGTGCTTTTAATTCTGCCTCAGACCGGCAAAAAGCCCTGAAATTTTATGACTACATTGAAGCCAACAGCCCAAGTAGTTTTCGGCATTTATGGTTAAATGGACGAATGGGAGAAGCCGAATTGAAGCAAATGACGGCGAATATAATTCAAATTGCCAAGTCTTTAAATGTTCCAACAATTGCTAATCATAATGTCCATTACTGTCAACCTGAACAAAAAATTATCAAGCAAATCATCGTTGCCAACGAGGGAATGAATGGTGCTAGACATTCCTTATATAATGAAGCCACTTTGGACGGCAAAGAAGACCGCTTTGCTAACTTACCCGACCAACATCTCCGCACCAACGAGGAAATTATCCAAGATTGGGAGTTTTTACAAGATGTCGATTTAATGGAGGAAATAATTTTTACTAATCCGCAAAAAATTGTTGACCAAACCGCGGAGGTTATCATTTTTGACGGCCAAATTCGCTATCCTGATTTTTCCGAAAACGAAGAAAAATTAGTCCAAGTATACCAAAAAAAAGCCCAAGAATTGTTTGGGGATAAATTACCCCCCCCTGTGCAAAAAAGAATTGAGAAAGAATGAAAAATTATTCGCGAAAATTACCTTTCGATTTATTGATTAGCTTACCAAATTGTCCAAAAAACTCACCAAGATGGTTTTATTGTCGGTTCTCGGGGTTCGGTGGGCTCTTCTTTTCTTGCTTATTTGCTGAATATTACTGACCTTAATCCCCTCGCCCCTTATTATTTCTGTCAAAATTGTAAATACTTTGAGCCTTACCAAACCGAGCAAACAGTATTTTCCTGTTATGATATTAACGAATTTCCGAGTTGTCCGCAATGCAAAAATCAATTAAATTTGGAAGGTCATAATTTACCTTTTGAAACTTTTTTTGGCTGAAAAGGAGAAAAAACTCCCGATATTGACTTAAATTTTTCCGGAGAATACCAAAAAACTGCTCACGACTACGTCCGTGAACTTTTAGGAGAAGAGCACGTTTATCGGATTGGCACTATCAATAAATTATCCCAACAAACGGCGGAAATTTTTTTACGAGAATACAAAAAGTTAAAAAAAGAACTTAATCCTAAATTTAATTCTTATAACAATGGTAATGACGAAATATTGCTCGAACAATTAAAAGGAATTAAGCGTACTACGGGACAACATCCTGGCGGATTACTGATTATTCCTCAAAACATTGATATTCACAGTTACACGCCTTTAAATTTTCCGGCTGACAACAAAAATGCTGAATGAAAAACCACCCACTTTGAATATAGTTTTTTAGCGAACATTTTTCTCAAATTGGACATTTTGGGACATGATGAGCCCACAGTTTTACAAAAATTATATGAGTTAACCAAAGTAAATCCGGCTAATATTTCTTTTCATGACGAAAAAATCATGGCAATTTTCACCCAAGCGGATACTTTGGGTATTCCTGAGTTTGGCACGGATTTTGTGAAAAGGAATTTTCTTAGATCGCTCCAACCAACTAAATTTTCCCAGTTAGTGCAAATTTCTGGCTTTTCTCACGGGACCGATGTTTGAACCCAAAACCAGCAAGGTCATTATAAGGAAGGCATGAAGTTAGAGGAATTAATTGCTTGCCGGGAGGACATTTGGACCTTTTTGGCGGCTTGGGGGGTAGATAATAAAACTGCTTTTTTGGCTAGTGAATATATTCGCAAGGGCAAATGGGAAAGCCTAAAAGCCGAAATTAAAAAAGCCATTCGGGAAAAATTAGGCTTGTCTGATAAGGCTATTATTAGCATAATAAAAAATTTGACCAATAAGCAAAATGCTTTAATTGACAAAATTAGCCAAGAGTTGGCCAAACTAGAAGAGAGTAATTTAATTAATTTGCTCCAAAAATTAGGCGAAAGTTTGGGTGAACTAACGGAAACAAAACCGGATAAATAAAATTATCGCACAATTATTTTTTCGTGTTAATGTTTTCTCTTCAATCTTAATGATTATTAAAAAATTACTCTATATTCATTGCCAACTTCCGAGCAAATTATTGTCAGCGGTTAAAATTATTATATGAATATCGAGCAAGAAAGTCTCTTAAAAGCTAATGCACATTTTGGTAATTTAACTCAACGTTGAAATCCGAAAATGAAACCTTATATTGCCGAAAAAAATGGTAAACTTCACCTTTTCGACCAACAAAAAATCATTGATTGCTTTTTTTACGTTAAACCCCAAATCGAGAAAATGATCGAAGAAGAAAACGTGACAGTTTTATTTGTGGGAACCACTCCCCATTTGGCAGAAATTGTTAAGCAAGCCGCGATTAGTTGCCAATCCCCTTACCTGGCTCACCATTGGCTAGGAGGATTTTTAACTAATTTCCGCACTATTCAGCAATCAATTTGGCGATTAAAAAATTTGCTTGTCTTCCAACAATCAGAAAAGTTTGCTGCTTTACCCAAAAGGGAACAAATTGAGTTAGAAAAAAAAATCAATAAGTTAAAAAAAGTCTACGAAGGAGTACTCAATTTGCCAAAAAATGGCTGGTTTGATTACTTTCAAGGTAAAAAACGACCCAATGTTTTATTATTTATTATCGGATTAAAAAAAGAAAAAACAGCAATTAGAGAAGCCAAAAGATTAGGCATTCCAATTATGGCAATTTGCAATACCAGTGGCGATCCTAGTTCAGTTGATTACGTGATTCCTGGTAATGATTGAAAGGCGAGTTCAGTTGATTACTTAGTTAATGCTGTTGCCGAAGTTATTCGCGAAAGCAAACTCCGGAAAGCTGCCACATTATCTGCTGCGGAAAGCGAAGACCCGGAAGGAACAAAAAAATGAGTTTCCTCCAAAGAAATAAACAGGGTTTAATTTACTTTTTTTGTTTTCATAAGATAGAATAAAAGGCAATAACAACCAAGTTAAATATTGTTTGCTGCTATTGTCATTATTGTTAAAAGAGTCTGCAACAATAAAAATTGCGTTAAAATTAATTATAAATAAAGTTCAAAAACTAAAATTAAATCTAAAAAATAATGACCATTAAATTTTTACTTTTTCAAGGCAATTGGGAAAACGAAGGCAACCTCTGGGCTCTGGAAACTGAGCATAGCATTTTGCTTTTAGCTGCCGGAGAAAATGCTCCTTTTTTAAATCAGCAAGAAACAATTGATTATGATTATTTAAGCAAAGCCAAAGCCAAAATTAAAGCAATTATTCTGTTTAACACTCTTCCTAAAAACTGTGCCTTTTTGCCCCAACTTTACCAAGAATTAAATTTACAGTGTCCTATTTACGGTAGTCAGCCTAGTTTTTTAATTTTGGAATATCTTTGAGCAACGCAGCCGAAAATCAAAGATAAATTTATCGCCGCTGAACTAAACAAAAGTCTAAAAGCGGGTGACTTTACTTTACGATTTTTGCCTTTAAACAGTTACGTCTTAGGGAACTTGGCAGTAATGATTAATTACCAGGACTACACTTTTTATTGCTTACAAGACTTCATTTTAAACAATCTACTCAATAATAATTACTTATCAGACACCGCTTTTTTTGCCCAGTTAAAAGATTTACTTGTTCACCAAAAAAAAACCACTTACTTAATTACGGCTTATCCCAATTTAGCTTGAAACCGGCAAAATTCTTTACTTTTAGCGGCTCGTAGTTGGGCCAAAGAGAAAAATTATTTTTTTCTGCTTTATGATTATGACTGGTTGCATATCTTTGAACTATGTGAACTAGCCCAACAATGACAGAAAAAAATCCAAATTTTAAATCCAAGTTTTCTAGCCCTTTTAAAAAAAATATGAAAGCATGATAAATTAAAAGAAGTTTTAGAGGAAGAAGGACAATCCTCGCCGGGGAATACCATTTATTTATTAGTCGGTTCTCCCCAAAATATTGAAGAACGATTAAAAGCCACTTTGGCCGAAAAGCATTTTAGTAAAAAAGAACTCATTACTTTTGTCGTAGGAATTTCTGCGGTTCATGGCGGCGAGGCAAAAATAGCCAACATTGTGGATTACCTTTACCAAAAAAAGAGCGAAGTTCACAATTTTAGTCGCAGTGAAGCATTTTCCTTAGGCACAAGTTTCACCGACCTGAAATTACTTTTAGAAGTGATTCAACCAAACTTAACGATTACTCTCCAAAATAGTTACAAACAAAAAAATTATCTTGCTTACTTGAAAAAAAACCATTTTTTAACTTGCCCTAACCAAGCTTATTTAGTGCTTCCGGCGAAAAAAATTCATCCTTTTCCCAGCCGGGAACGAGAAACCGAAAAAATTTTACTTACCCAAAGGCAAAATTTATTGCAAAATGGGTTTTTAGTTATTTTTCTGATGCTTAAATGAGAACAAAAAAATTTGAAAATCAAAAGTTTACAACTAGAATCCGCGGCCATTGCCTCAACAGTTAACTGGAAAAGATTAGAAGAAAAAATTAGACATTGATGAGAGAAAAAAATTAATCCTGACTTGTCTAGTAGAGAAAAGCAGAGCAACGACAAAAATGCTGATTTGCCTAACCAAGAAACTTCCCAAAAAATGCCCAAGAATTGAAGAAAAAGAACTGAACGGTATTTGGAAATTTACATTGAAAGGTATCTGAATTTTGAACACGACATTGAAATAAAATCACCAGTTATTTTACTATTTTTGGAAAATCAGAGTGAAACAAATTAAGCAAATTTTTAGATTAAACTAAGTTCTTTCTCTGTATTATAACTGCGTATATAAAGTTTGGCAATCATAGTTATTATTAGTTGTTTTTTTCACTTTAAAATTTATTAATTATGCTTTATCCTTTTCTAAGAACCAAAAAAAAAAAATCGGTTATCATTGCTCTCAGTGGAGGAGTAGATTCTGCTGTGGCCGCTTATCTCCTCAAAAAGCAAGGTTACCAACTAACTGCTATTTTTATGCAAAATTGAGACGATTATTTAAATGCTAGTCTTAGCCAAGAAACAATTTGTTCCCAAGGGCAAGATTGGCAAGTCGCCCAGCAAGTCGCCCAGCAATTAAACATTCCTATTCAGAAAGTTAGTTTTCTACAAGAGTATTGAAACAAAGTTTTTTTAAATTTTTTACAAGGCTTAAAGCAAGGATTAACCCCCAACCCTGATATTTTATGTAATAGTTCGATTAAGTTTTCAGCATTAGTAGATTATGTGCAAAAGCATTTTCAGCCTGATTTTATTGCTACTGGTCATTATGCGAAAATTATTGTCGATGAAAGCCAAGACCAGTATTATTTAGGTAAAGCCAAAGACCAAAGCAAAGACCAAACTTATTTTCTTTGCCAGATACCGCCCTCAGTTTTGCCGAAATTAATTTTTCCCTTGGCTGGTTTAACCAAACCAGAAGTTCGCCAAATAGCCGAAAAAATGAAACTAATTAACGCTCAAAAAAAAGATTCGACCGGAATTTGCTTTATCGGTGAACGCAATTTTGCTAAATTTCTAACTAATTATTTGCCTCCAAAAGAAGGGAGCATAATTGACATTGACAGCGGAAAAATCAAAGGCAAACACCAAGGAGCATATTATTTTACGATTGGGCAAAGACAGGGAATCGGTCTACAAGGAGAAAAGGAGCCTTATTATGTAGTTGGCAAAGAGATAAAAAAAAATCTAATTTATGTAGCAAAAAATTGAAAAAACCCTTGATTATACAGCAACTATTGTTGAGTAAAAGACATTAATTGGCTAGTTAAAGAAAAAGAACTGCTTAATTACCTCAACGACCAAAAAATAACCGCCAAATTTCGTTATCGGCAACTAGAAATTTTAGTCAAATTGTTCCCCACCGGGAAAAAAAGTGAAGTAAAAGTAGAATTCGAAGAAAGAGAAAGAGCGGTTACTCCCGGGCAATATGCCGTCTTTTATTACCAAAGTGTCTGTTTAGGCGGAGGAGTGATTTATGCTACTGAGAAATTAGACAATCACGGCAAACCAGTTAATTTGCCAGCAGGAGAAAGTTAAAATTACAATTTTCGAAAAAGCGAAATAGAAAACTAATTAATTAAAAATAGTAATATAAGATAAAAAAATATGAACAAGCAGAAAACGAAAATAAAAAACAAGCCGAAGAACTAAAAGCCAAATTAAATTCACCTGATTATGTTGCCGTTCCGGAAATATTAGAACATAGCGACAGATATGGTGATATGATAACCTTTATTTTCAGGAAAGATAGCAATGACGGCGTCCACAGTGAAAAGAGAGATAATTTTCTTGGTGATATGGGTCGAGAAAAAGATAGAGTTATTTACGAGCACCAATTAGAACCCGCTGATTGAGAGGAAATTGTTAATTTAATTGAAAAGCGAAACGAAGAAAAAAAAGAAGCATTTGAGCAAAAATGAGCCGAAATCCAGGAAAAATTAAATAATACGCCGGGGTTATACTATTATTGAGGAAGGTCTAGAAAAGAGCAAAAAGCCGATTGCTGAGTAGAATACAAGGACATGCGCGGATTTACCACCTTTTTCGGCAAGGAAAACGGCAGAACGCACTATCTTTATATTGCCGAAGAACACCCTATTTTAGACAACTTTTCTTTTGAAAAAGGTTTTTACTTAATTGATACTGATGTGCCGATTGAAAAAAATCCTCCTGAATATTGATGTAGTGGCGGCGAAGATAACCCATACAATTTTCATAAATGAGTGGAATTGGAAAATGAAATTACCATTACTCCGGAAAACGGCGAAAAATTGGTGGCGAAAAAAACCAATCGCAAGCAAAATGCTTCTAATAAAAAAACGATGGTAGCAGCAGGCTCCACCAAAGGTAATTTAACTGCTAAGGGAAAACCAACGCCACCAGAAGAAAAAAACAATTTAACCGCCGTCGCAGTAACTCAACCAGCCTCCGCGGATAACAAACAATTAACCCAAATTCTTCAAGAAATTCAAGAGTTAAAAGCAAGAATTACGGAATTAGAAAAAACTAAAAATAATCCGCAGCAAGTGCAAAAATTAAACCAAAAATTACAAGTATTAGAAGCACAAAAAGCTCAATTAGCCTCGCCAAAAAGTTCCACCGAAAGTTCAGAAAATAGTTCCCGTTCTAAATTGGCTAATGACACTAATCCAAATAAGTCAGCAAGTCTGAACAGCCCCCTTATTATAATTGCTGGTTTAGTTATTTTTGGTATTTCGGCTTTGGCAATTGGTTATTTTCTGGGGAAAAAGAGAAAAAAATCTTCCTAAAAAAATTGCTTAAAACCCAACCACTAATCGTAGAAAAATTGAAGTTTTTCAGTAAAAATATAATTATACAAGGTTGGGAGCGAATTATATTGCTTAGAGCCTCCTGTTCTTGTCAACAAGCAACTTTTATTTATGAACAAATCTGAGCCAATTAAAGTTTTAACCCGGCAAGAAGAAATTGAACTTTTACAACAAGCCCAAAAAGGAAAAACCCAAGAAGAAAGAGAAAGAGCGGCCCGCCTTTTAGTTTATTACAACCAATCCTTTGTCAAATACGTAGTGAAAGGCTTTCATTACCCACAGGGTGAAATTAATTCTGACGAACTAACGGCCGAAGGAATCATTTCTTTGCCCCAAGCAATCAAAGATTTCGACCTTACCAAATCGGAAAACCGGCTGGCTAGTTATGCTGGTTATTGAGTTCACCAACGCATTCGCAGTTTTATCAAAAAAAGCCAATTACTCCCCCAAGCCACTCCCAAAAAAAAACCTACTCCTGTTGCCGAAGAAGAAGGGGAAGAAGGAGTCGAAAAAAAAATTCCTAGCCGAAATTTCCCTACGGGAATTATCTATTATGACAAAGATTATCAAAGCGGTGAAAAAGATGACAAAGCTACTTCCTTGCTCGACACCTTAGCCGACGACAATGAACAAATTGAACAACTAATTCAGCAAAGAGAGACTAAAAGGAAAATTGGCGACCTGCTTGCTCACTTGGAGCCCCACGAAGAGTTGATTGTCAGGCTCTTTTTTGGCATAGTTCCGGCTAATTTAGCCCAAATTAATCGCTTGGTAATTGAAGAAAAGACCAAAGAGTTAAAGAAATTTCAAAGCAAAGAAAAATCTCCTCTTTTCGCAAAGTGTTCGCAATTTTTCGCTACTCCTCACAAAAAAGAAGAAGTCGCCCAAACCTTGATGAATCGGGAATTTTGGGAATATTTTCGGGAATTTCCGGAATTAGCGACCAAAACCCAAATTTCTCGCCGCGGCAGTTCAAAGACCAATTTTGCCAATCAGCCAGTCAGTGCGGCTGAGCAAAAAAAATGAGAAGAAGCCAGCCAAAATAATCTCCAATCATTCTCCGAAAAGGCAGTTTTCCGTTGAATTAATTTAGGCTATCAACCCGAAGATATTATTGACCCCCAAAACCAAATTCTCCAAAAACTCGGTATCACCAAAAAAGAAAAAGAACAATGACAAAAAATTAGCAGCAAGGCCAAAAGCAAAAATTGGCTGGAACAACGCTTAGGAAAAATTATGGAGAATTGAAAAAAAAATATTTTAAAGAAACTGAAAGAACTAGAAGAAAAAGCGAAAAATTCTCAGCAAAAGAAGTTAAAGAGCAAGAAGACTAGTCCGAAACGGAAAAATATTCCTGGGGAGGCTTAAGTAAATTGAAAAATCCAAAAAAGCCGTAGTAATCCACAGTGGCAACGAAAAAAATTAAATTACTTCAAAACAGTCTCGCGGTGAAGTTTGCGGTGGCAATTAATAACAAAATGGTGAACTTCCGCTTGGAGTTTGACCAAAAAATTTTGGAGGGCTGCGTGGACTGGTAAAGGCAATTCTTGAAATTTGCTAGTAATAATTTTCTCCGTTTGGTGCTTTTCGTTTTTGGCTAGACCAACCACGGGAATATTTAAAGCTAATTCTCGGCAAACGCTCAAAACTGCTTTGACTTGGAGTTTTCCGCCATCTACTAGCAAAAGTTGCGGTAAATATTTCCGTTTTTGGTAGTGTCGCCGACAGGCTTCGACTATTCAGGAAACGTCACTTTTTTGTTCCAAACCGGTTAGTTGGTAAATTTTTGCTCGGTTTTTCACCTTTTCTCCGTTGACATAGACTAAAAATCCGGCCACAATGTCTTGTTGAAACAAGTTAGAAATATCCAAAACTTCCAAAAAATAAGGCGGCTCAATCTGCAAATATTTTCCTAATTCCTCTAAAATGTTGATTTTGTCGTTTTTTAATAAATTTTCTGAATAATTCTTTTGTCAAATATGGTGAGCATTTTCCTCTGCCATGGCTAAAATTTTTTTCTTTTTACCCCTTTGGGGAATTTGGCAAGTAAAACCGAATTCTTCGGCCAATAGTTCTTGATTTTCTAGTTTCCTCGGTAAATACAAAATTTGAGGCGGAAGATTTTTTTGGTAAAATTGATAAAGATAAGACTGTAATAGTTCCTTTTCTTCATTTAACCTTGCTTGAAGTGGAAAAGTTTGGACTTTGGTGGTGCTTAATTTTCCGTAACGATAGAGCAAGAAGCAGCAAGCCAGCAAGCCACCTTGGGAATAGAAAGCAAAAAAATCATAATTTTCGTGGTGAGGAAACTCAACGTTTTGTTCACTAGTGAAAAAATTGAGGTTGTCTAAGATTTTTTTTTCTTTTTTGGCCAATTCAAATTCTTGGTTAAGAATGCTCTTGCGTAAAACTTTTTGGAGGTTTTTTTTGACAATTTGCGTTTTTCCGTGAAAGAAATCAATAATTTTTTGTTTAGTTTTTTGGTAATATTCTGGTTCGACTTTTTTAAAACAATGTCCTGAACATTGGCCTAAGGAGTAATCTAAGCAAGGTTTACCTAAATTGCCTTTACATTTGGCTAAGGGAAATACTTTTTCGAGAATTTGTAAAACTTCCGCGGCTTTGGTGCCATCCGGAAAAGGACCAAAATATAAATCTTTCTTGCCAGAATTAAATTTTTTTGTTAACCAATAGCGAGGATTAGTTTCCTCAGTAATTTTAATATAGGGGTAAGCATGGTCGTCTCTTAATAAAATATTAAAACGGGGTTGGTATTTTTTGATTAAATTTTGTTCCAAAATGAGGGCTTCTTTGACGTTATTAGTAAGGATTATTTCGCAATTAGCAATTAAACCTAAATATTTACTTTGGCTTTCTTGAAAATGGTGAGCGATTCTTTGGCGCAAATTTTTCGCTTTGCCAACGTAAATTATTCTTTTTTGTTGGTCTTGGAAGAGATAGCAGCCAACCCGTGGAGGTATTTGGGGAGTTTTAAGCATGTTTTGTTTATTCATATTTGTTAATTTTTCCTTTTTCCCTTTTTTGTTTAATCAAGTTTTTTTTCTATTTCAGTTAGGTATTACAGATTAGAACTTGGTTAACGACAAGCGAAAATAAAAATTTTTATTATGCGCTACATACCGGTAACTAGGCAAAATTCTTCTGGTGTTGGAATTATTTTTTTGTCTTTTTTGTTTGCTCTTCTCTTTACTTTTTTGTTTTGATTGCTTATAAAAAAAATTGCTTTTTCTTCAAAAAATAAATTAAATAAACTGCGGAACGGCTTGGCATTTTTCCTTTGCTCACGAAGAATTTGATTAAAAATTTTCCTTATTGCCTGATTTTTAATTTTACTTTTTTTTATTATTTTAATGATGGTCTTTTTAGGAGAGAAATTTTAAGATTAAACGTTTTATTTGGTCTTTTGCCTCATTTTTTATTTTGGTGCTGCGGTGATTTTTCAAAATTGAGTCAATAACTTCTGCTATCAATTGAAATTCTTTTTCTCCTAAGCCACGATTAGTTAAAGCTGGTGAACCTAAACGAATACCGCTGGTAATTCAGGGTTTTTCATCATCGTAAGGAAGCATATTCTTATTACAAATAATGCCTCTTTCCTCTAATCTCTCTGCTGCTGCTTTCCCCGTTAAATTATAACTACTTTTAGTATCAATTAATAATAAATGGGTTTCGGTGCCACCGCTGATTACTTTGACACCTTTTTTTTGAAAATATTCAGCCATGGCTTTCGCATTTTTTAAAACTTTTTTTTGGTATTCTTTGAATTCTGGTTGCAGGGCTTCCCAAAAACATTGGGCTTTGGCCGCAATAATTGCTAAATTTGGTCCCCCTTGGTTCCCGGGAAAAACGGCTTTATCAATTTTTTGTCCTAATTCTTTTTTGGCTAAAATCACTGCTCCCCGTGGTCCTCTTAAAGTCTTATGGGTAGTAAAAGTAATTACATCGGCGTAAGGAACAGGATTAGGAAACAAATCAGCAGCCACTAAACCTGCTACATGGGCGATATCAGCCAGCAAGTAAGCACCAGCTTTATCAGCAATTTTCCGAAACTTGGCAAAATCAATTTTTAAACTGTAAGCACTATAACCAGCGATAATCAATTTTGGTTTAACTTTTTGGGCGATTTGGTTAATTTCTTCGTAATCTAATTTTTGCGTAAGCGGGTTAAGATTATAATAATGAATTTGGTAAAAGGTTCCGGAAAAGTTTACTTTGGCACCGTGAGTTAAATGCCCGCCGGCGAGCAAATTTAAACTCAATATTTTAGCACCAGGCTGTAAAAGGGCTAAATATACTGCTTGGTTGGCTTGGGAACCAGAATGTGGCTGAACGTTGGCATATTCGGTTCCGAATAATCTTTTGGCTAAATCAACCGCCAGTTCTTCAATTTTATCCATGTATTGACACCCTTGATAATAGCGAGAATTAGGGTAGCCCTCAGCATACTTATTCATTAAGAAGGAACCGCTGTAAAATAAGACTTTTTTGGAGGGATAATTTTCCGAAGCAATTAAATTAAGGGTACTTTTTTGTCTTTTTCTTTCTTTTTGGTAATAATTAAGGAGATTTTTTTCGGCTGAATTGGATTTTTTGTCCATGAGTTATATAAAATTTTAATATGACGAGAGAAGAACGAAAAGCAAAATTACAAAAAGCCAAGGAAAAACTGGAAAACTGGCAATCTTCTTTACCAAAAATGAAGGAATTTACAGAAACAACTTATAAAGAACTAAAAGAATATTTTGCCAAAACTCAAGAAAAGCCTTCTCCCGAAGAAGAAAAAGAATTAAATGAATTATTAAAAGAAATGGAAGGAATTAAAGAAGCAAAAATCCTTGACTCTATTGATAGTTGAGAGAAAGGCAGTTTTCAGCCTAAGGACGAAGACGTTGACTTTCTAGAAGAAATGTTAATAGGTAATTGGGGTACTCTTATCGAAATAAGAAAAATAAAAAGAGGTGAGGGATACGAAAAAGATGAAGGAACTAAAAAAAAAGTTGAGGCGTGAGAAGAAGGCTTCGAAAACTTTAAACCCCATTGGGAAAAAACTTTGTCTCTAACTTCTCAACGCTATATAGGCAAAAAAACTTCCTCTTCTTCCAGCAAAACATCTGCCAATTCAACTACCCTTCCCTGAACTCTTGCTATTGTTTTCGGAATAACCACAATTATCTCCGCTGGGGTGGCAATCTACCTTTTTTGGCACCAGAGAAAAATAAAACGATTTAAAGTTTAAAAATGGAAAACGCCAAACTGCTCGAAAATACTAACCTTTGCTACTTATCATTGTCTAAACTTCAAGAATGATTAAGAGAAAACAGCCTTTGAGAAAAAGATTTTACCGAAACTAAAAAGCAGTGAAAGCAAGAGCTAGAAAACAATTCATTTTCTTTTTTTATTGACACAGAACTATTAATAAGTGAAAAAGACATAATTTTGCTCCAAGTTGAGGACGAAAATATAATTGAATACTTGACCAAAACTTATCAAGTCAAAGAGCAATTAATTTGCCAAAAACTCTTTGGGGAAAATAAGCATTTTATCCTTTTAACTAAGGAACAATGGCAAAAAATGGAAGAATTTAATAAAAATAAAAAAAATAAGGAAGGAGGGAAGAGCCCCAGCCGCGGGCAAAATGACGTTCCCCAGCAGGCAATTGACAAACAAGAAAATTGTTTTATTCTTTTCAAAGACGAAGAAAGTATTAAAATCAACTTAGCTAAATGGTTAAAACAAAATAATTAAATATTACTTCTATGGTTTGATACTATTTTTTTTCTTTCTCCTTCAAAGGATAAAACCAATGATACAAACGACAAGAAAAAGAGAAACAACAACAGTTAAAATTAAGTTTCCCCACCTGATTTGAGAAGGAGCAACTTTGTGTCCCCAAGCTATGGTGATCTTTATGCTTTCCTCATCTTGAATTGGTTCTAATTTGTAGTCAAGTACTTTGTCTTTAAATCAGCCCTTTTTGAGTTTAAGGCTTTTTAAAGAAAATTTGTAATCACAATATCCTTGCTTTTCCGGGACGCTTTGCGGGTCCATGAAATAAATAATTTCGTTATTTTTGCTCGGAACACCTTCGTTTCCCTGTCAATCAATTTCTATTTCTTGGTATGTTTTTAGATTGTTTAGACTACCATTAAGCATCCTCTTAACCGACACTTCAAAAAGCAAATCTCGTTTTTCTTTTTTTTGAATTCACCATATTTAAAATTTTGCTTGGTTTTTTTGCTAATATATTTAAATCTTGGCGGAAGTGAAAGGATTCGAACCTTTGAATATGAAAAACATATTACTAGCTCTCCAAGCTAGCCCCTTCGGCCACTCGGGCACACTTCCAAAAACGGCAAATATCAAATATTTTGTTCTTTATCTATTTTTAAATTATAAAACTAATTCATTTTCTTTTTTTGCTTGAAGTTCTTGGATTTTTTTTAAGTATTTTTCGTTAATTTTCTCAATTTCTTTTTCAACTAATTTTTGTTCATTTTGGGATAGTTTTTTCTCTTTTAAAGATTTGAGGATTTTTTGCCGACTAAGGCGCAAAGCAGCTTTTCCTTGTTCGGTCATTTCTTTAACTTTTTTGCCTAATTGTTGGCGGATTTCTCCGGTCATCGGGGCTAAGGAAAAATAAATTTCATTTTTTTCCATTTTAGTTTGTTGGTAGCCTAATTGGGATTCTAAAACTGCCTTGTTAATCGCTTGGGTTTTTTTTGGTTCAAAAACACGGATAACTAATTGTCCTTCATGATTAATCTTCAAAGTAGCTAATTGTTTGATTTTTTGGTTTTTTCCTTGCTGTTGAATGGATAGTTCTTCGATTGCTTCCAAAGAAATTTGATTACTGCGGATTTTTCTTAAACTAGTCTCTAATCTATTTAAGTCTTCTTTCATTAGTTCTTCAATTCTCTCGGCTCATTCCGTCATATATAATCAATTTTACAATTTTGAGAACTGTTTGCCGAACTATATTTTTAACTTAGCATCCAAGGAACTTTTAAGTCGGAGAACGATTTTTTTCACAATTTCCTCAACTTCTGATTTCTTTAGAGTTCTTTCTTCACTTTGAAAAGTCAGCCGGAAGGTCAAAGATTTTTGCTTGTTTTTTTTGTCTTCCTTGCTTTGATAAATATCAAAAATTTTTGCTCCTTTTAGTCAAGAACCACCATTTTTTTTAATGATTTCGACAACTTTTCCAGCAGGAACATTTTCTGCGAAAATAAATGACAAATCTTGCTCAATTTTAGGAAAAGGCGAAATAATTTGATAACTCTGTTGCTTATCTTTTGCTAGAAAAAAAAATAACTTACTTAAAGAAATTTGTGCTCCAAAAACTGGCTGGTCGATTTGGTATTTTTTGCTCACTGGAAGGTGTATTTTTCCAAGGAAGCCAATTTTTTCTTGATTTAGCCAAATATCGGCATTTTGATAAGGATGTAATTCTTCGGCTTGGGAAAGAACAAAATTAATTTTATCAACAATATTTAAAGTTTGAAAAACTCTTTCTATTGCTCCTTTTAGCCAAAAAAAATCATACTCTTGTTCTAATTTATGAACCGGATTAGTAATGATTTTTCCTGTTCCGCTTAAAACCAAAATCTCTTCTTCGTCAGGGGAGTAAATTTTACTAATCTCGAAAAAAAAAAGATTTTCATTTTGGTGGGTTAAATTATAAGCAACAGTTTTTAAGTGGCTAGGGAGAATGCTTTGCCGATAATAAACACGATTTTCACTTTTAGGAACTAGTAACCAATAAAACTTATCTTCCGTTTGGGAACAAAAATCACTTTTAATTTCTTGGGAAACTAGGGAATAAGTAATAATTTCCTGGTAACCCAAATTACCTAATTTTTGCCGAATTAACTCACGATAAGTTTGGTTTTTATCAATAGTTATTTTGTTTTGCTGGAAAGAAAGGAAAGAACTAGGGAGATTGTTATAGCCGTAGATGCGAACTATTTCTTCTACCAAATCTTCCTGATTTTCAATATCTAAACGATAATCAGGAATAATTATTGAATACGAATACATTTTTTTAATTTTTGTTCTTTTTGATTCTAATTTACTTCACTCATATTTTAGTGGAACAAAAAAAACGAAATTGCTTTTCTCTTTACTTTTTTTGCTACATTCAACTAATTTAGATTAAAAAAACTCATTACAACTATAATTCAAGAAAAGTTTACTCTCATGTTTTCTAGCAACTTTCTCACAATTATTGAATTTATTTATCTCCCTTGTCAAATATAACTCAATCCATCAATTCTGTATCAGTTCTTTCCACTAATTGCGGGTTATAGTTTTCGGAACCATCAATAATCTCTTGGTTGATTTGGCGAAATTCTTCTTTGCGGATAGCCTGTTGATACTCTATTTTGGTTTCGCGGGCTTTTTGCTCGATTGCTTCGTTAAAGTTTTTAAACTTTTTGGCTCCGGCTTTGGCTTTTTCGGCTCCTAATTTGGCATAGTAAGCTACATTTTCGGCTACTTCGGCAACCTTTTCGGAGACCAAGGCGGTCTTTTCGGCTACTCAGGCGGTATGTTTGGTGGCTCAGCTGCCGTTTTCGGTGACCACGGCTAGACCGTAAACTAATTTTAATAAACTTATGGGTAATCTGATTTGGTACATAATAGTTATTTTTAACAATTATAACTCAAAAACTTCAAAAAGTGAGTTATAATTTGCTTGCCTATTGCGTGAGAGAGCAATGGTTCTGTTTAGGTGTTTTTGAAGGATTGGGAAATGCGAAAAAGCGACTAAACAGAACCGTTGTGAACTTGTTTTCTTTGGATTTTTTTTTGCTACTTTTTTTTAAAAGTTATCAGTGTGCTGCGGTTAAACTGTGCTGTTGCCCTTGGTAAATAGTTCAATGGTAAACATTACAAGCGTAAATGTGGTTAAAAGTATGGACTACCTTTTTGCCTCAGTCGTCATAAACAATTATGGGCTGCTTTTCTTGTGAACAGAATTTATGCTCGTCTCCGGTTATTCCTTGTTGTAAACAGCCCGGACAATGGGGTTTTTTACAAACATAATAGTCTTTTCAGAACTTTTTTTGCGGGTTAGTTGCGTTAGTTTCAGTAGACATATTGTTTTTGTTTTTAAGCTGTTTAGCATTTATCTCTTTCCCTTATTCACTCTTTTCATGCAGCTAAATTAGTTAAAGCATACTGGCCAAGCACATTCTTTGATAATTCTCCTTGCCAGGTTCCTCACTCTTTCTTGTCCTCAAAATGGTAAACTGTCTGTTCGATTAAGACTAAAATGCCTGTTGACAAGGCTTTTTCTTTTTTTGCGAACTCTTGGTGGGCTTGGTCTTTATCTTTGAATAATCATTGCTGGCTCATGTTTAATTAGCGTTTAATCAAGCTCAATTCTGTTGGCATTCTTGGCTTAATTCTTTTAACATTTCTAAATAGTCTAAATCCTGCTTGCTTTTTCGCCCTGGTTTGCTCTGAATAGCCTTAATTTTGGTTTGAACTGCCCGTTGGTGAGCGTTTTGTTGGGCTTCTTTTAGCATTGATTTCTGGTTATAGTAAGCGTTTTTTCATTGTTGGGCTTCGGCTTCTAGTTGCTTGATTTTAACTTGGAGTTTTTGAATCAATTGTCTTTCCGCTTGCTTTTCCTGTGCTTCGTAAGGTTGGTGAATGGTTTGCCGGTTTGCTTCTTCGTTGATTTCTTGGGTAATTAACGCTTGCCAATTAATAATAAAAAAAAATTCTCCGTCTTGCCTGAAAACAAGCGAACAAGCCCCTTCTTTAAGCCTTCATTGGCTAAATGCCCTTCATTTCTTGCCGGTTTCTTTTTCTCTAATAGCGACATAATAACCTGTTTTCGCTGGCTTAACTTCAATAACTGTGCCTTGAATTCTAACTAGATTATTCATGTTTACTCCTCATACTCCTTTGCTCTTTGTGAATAATAAATCTTTTTCAGCTTGTAGTATAAGTCAACTTGTTTAGTCGCCCATCAGTTAAACAAATTAGCTTGGTGTAATTGGTCGTCTAAATCTCGGGCAGTAATCTTTCCTTGGTTTTCGACCTTTTTCACCCGCTCTTGATTAAAGATAATATTCTTGGTAAATTCCATAAACATAGCCAGCAGCTTTTGAATCACCTCGTCGCGAATTCCCTCCTCGCCATTGACTAAAATTTTCTCTTGTTTTTTCAAATATTCCTCGACTTCTTTCTTTAAAGTTAGATTGGCATTCAAGAAAAGGTTGAATTGGGTTTGCTCCAAACTCTTTAATTCTCGGGCAGAGTTAACTTGTATCGCTTGGCTATCCATAATGTTTAATTTTACCCACTTTGCCTTTCGTGCGGGAAAACTCTTCTCTTTGCTTCTCACGGTTCACATTTTCTTACTAAATTCTTACTAAATCTAAATTTTTATTAGTTTATTAGTTATTAGTTTATTAGTTATTAGTTATTAGTTTATTTAAGAATATCCCCCTTACCCCCTTCTTTCGCCGTTAAAGCAAGCCGTTTTTTCTCCAAAATTGCCGAATTCGGCGAAGGGTGTTAAAAAAAGTAGCAAAAAAAATTTTCCAAACCCAAATTAAAAATGGCAAACCCGACCAAAAACCAAAATGTCAATAAAGATAACCGCCAACATTTCCTTAAATACGGCAAAAGTGCTTAGTCTTTTCTTTATATTTTTCTTTCTCCTATATTTTCGTTATCAAGCAAAAAAAACACGTAAAAATAAAAGCACTTTTGCTTATTTAGCCTTAAATGTTTCTGGGTGATTTCATGGCTATTTCAAACCCTTTACTAACTCTTTTCAGTTTTGTAATTTCTCTAATTCTTTTACTTCGGTGAGAGTTCATAAAAAGGTCTCTATGTCCTTGGTTAATTCAGTATGTTCTGGCTCATGCTTTCGACCAAAACCAAGTTTATAATTAGCCAGTAAACAGTGGGCTAGTTCGTGGGCGATAGTGTTAATTAACTCCGGAAAGCCAAACAATATCGCTTTTTAAACCAGCTAAACAATAAGCAAACAAGATATTTAAGTGAATTTCTTTGGTGTAAATGTTTAAGCTTCCTACTTCTTCTTTCCCCAATCTAGTTCTGCCTTGTCAGTTATAGCTTAATTGAAAACCACCAAATTTAACTACTGCTGAGCGTAAAGGATAAATATCGCCGTGCTTTTTAATTAGAGTATTTTGATAATCCTGGTAAACAGCATTAATCAGGTGTTCGAAATAGATTTCCATGAATGCTATTTACTGTGTTTTTGTTGGCTTTTGTTGATATCTTTGCCACTACAAAATACTTCGACACTAAAACTTCCTTCTTCCATGGGCATTTTGTCGGCTTTGGCTTTGGCTCTTTTTAAAAGGTCGTGCATTTCTTTATCGCTTAGTCTCTTTGTTTTAGGTTTTGGGGTTATTTTCATATGAGAATTTTATGTTAAAACACCGTTAACTGCTTTTTCTTTGGTTTTTTCCCACAAAGTTTTGTTTTCTTGGTGGGCTTCGTCTTTGGTGCCTTTAATAATTCCTTTTTTCCCCAATGTTTTCATGGTAAAGGTTATTTTATCTTCTTTTTCTTCGGTAAATCCTTCTTCAATTTGCCATTTAGTGCTACCAAAATAAGCATAAGATTGGGTTGCTAGTTGTTCAAAAACTTTACCTTCACCCATTGCTTCGTAAAAAAGCTTATCTACTTTGAGAGAAAAAGTTTTGGTTTCTAGGTTGTTTTCGTTCATGCGAAAACTTTTAAAAGCACTCCCTTTGCTCTAAAATAACTCAATCCATCAATTCTGTATCAGTTCTTTCCACTAATTGCGGGTTATAGTTTTCGGAACCATCAATAATCTC